ACAATTATTATTAGATAAATTGCTCGAACAAGTTTGCGAACCCTAATCAAAAGGCGATATAGAATGGTTTTAAAAATCAAGGTTTGTCAAAATCATCACATGGTTTGACCTAAGTAATGCCAAGCTTCACAAACGAAAATTCAACGTCTTAATACTACTATTGGCTTTCGGTCTTTCGTTCCAAGTTAAATTATTTCTCGTTTTTTTAAGCTACGAGTTTACCCTTGTGGGCCTCGGTCTCGATAAGGTGGAAACCACCATTTTAGCGCCTCTCGAGTTTAGGATTACAATTATTATTTAACAACCATTAGAATCCTTAAGTTTTGTTCTAATAATAAAGATAGTTTCACCATTTTTTGCACCGTTTTGATATCAGCGCATATGGTAAACAGGTAATTTTTTGGACGTATCAAACAAAGACAAATAAAAATGTATTGCGCAAAATTAACTTTTTTTTGAGAATATCTGGACGATTTTTTGACGCTATTCAAAACTATAATGTCCACTACTCAAACAATTGCATCGATAAAATGCCAACGCAAATCAAAACTAAGAGTCCAAATCTAAATTATATATACATCAAAGAATTAGTTTACTGTGACTTACTCTGTATGATCAAATATAAGGTACTCTGTAATATAAAAAAAGTTTACTCCCACATGTAACAAATATTACAAATCTACAAAAGACTAAAGCACCATAAACGTTATTGAATTAATGAAATTATACAACAAATTGATGAGTATATTATTGCACCAATGATGGAAAAAATGAATATTTTTATTTGTACTCAAAATATAAAACAGATAAAACAGACAAAAAAATTAATAAAAGAATAACAAAAAAAAATATAGAAATAACATACCGAAAGCTTATCTTGAAATTCTGCATTTTTGCAGTGTTCAAAAAAAAAAAACAACTATCAACAATTTCACTTTTTTAATTAATTTTTTTGTCTGTCCAATGTACAATGTTATTTATACTTTCTAATCTATGTAACGTATTGGCCCGAAAATAAAACGTAAATATGGCATACCAGTGTGGGATTTGATGGTTGTTTTCCCTAAAAGAATATCTAAGCAGTTTATGTTCGGTTTCCAGTATTTAATTCATTTCGAACCTGATATGTATTTTTTTCGTAAACTATATACAAAATTAAAATTCATGTTATACTCTTCATACAGTAGGATGTAGAGTATTATAGGTTTATATTGTCTGTCCAATGTCGAATGTCACGTTTTTTGTCTGCACGATAAGTCAAAAACGAAAAATGATAATTTCAGGAAAAATCAAGCCCTATTGATTTTGAAAAAATCTAAATAAAAATGGAGGGTTACTATTTAAAAAAATCCTAACTCAAAAACGAAAAATTATATCAAGCTCTATATATTTAAAATCTGATTAAAAATGAGGGTTAAGTAGGGTTCTTCTTCTTCCTTTATTTGAGTTATATCCTACAGGATAATTTACCCAACCAACAACGCGGAGAGTATCCTTGTCTTGCTCTCAGCAATTGGATACCCTCTATTAAGTCAATATATAATATATTTCAAAGTAAAAAACTTCAGAAGGGTTGCAAAGCGAGGAGGCAGAAATACAGCTGGGGGAAGAGAAAGGACGACAGGAGGAAGGGTAGAAATGGAGCAAGAGGGAGTAGGCGACGAGAATACCGTTGACGATGAAGAATATGTATATGATTCTGATGACTTGGAGTGGTTGACCACACCCCAAAGGTTGGTATGTGTGTTTTATATCCAACCAATTCTTTCAAATAAATGTAATTTTTCAAAGACTTGCGTATTTTTTCCGAAATCCTGCACCCATATTATTCCGAAAAAAGTTTGCAAAAAAATCGCAAAAATGCGAAAAATGTTTAGAACGGGATTCAAGACCTTGGCACAAGGAAAAATAAATTTTTGCAATTTTCTGGTAAATTTGCAACTCAAATTGCACAGAACGTTCGCTAATACAATTGAGAGAGCCCAAGCGCTACTTTGCAGAAAAAAAGCAGGTGAAATCCGCCAGTAATTGTCGAATAATCGATTATTTCCAAAAATTCTCTAATTGGCATATTTAGCCAGATATTAGCGGGAAACCCTTTTTTCAGAGTTTAGGGGTCCATTTTCAGCCCCTTCCGGTACCAAGAACGCGTTAAGGATTTTCTCATTTCAAAACACCTGCGATGACTTACAAATTGAGCTACTTTGGAACTCATCAGCGATTTTTTTACAGTTTTCGATCTTTTCAGTCCTTCATTTACTGGACTAAATTCAGAGTATAAATCAAAGTTTGCCATCATATTTATGGGACATTCAAAGATAATGTGGTTTAATGAGCCAATTTGACCACACTCACAATATGGATCATCTTTTACTCCCATACAAAATAATTGATGTGGGGATAGACAATGTCCTGTCATCCTAATTATTGTAGTTAAATGTCTTCTGTTCTTGTAGGGAAAATTTAAAAACCAAGGGATTTTCTAAAATTGTGGAACAACTTTAGAATAAAAGGAATTCTTCCTACTCTTGAGGCTATTTCATTCTTGAATTCACAATGTTTCTGATAAATGGAAAGAAATTACGATAGTTTAATTTGATATTCACTGGAATATTCAGAGATCTTCCTATATTTGCCAATTGATCAGCCTTGAAGTTACTCAGAATCCCAGAGTGGCCTGGAAACCATGCCAGAAATATTTTGATATGTTCATCTTTTGGGAGTAAGATACCGTCTTTTGTCAAGAAGGAACAATGTTCAGTTTCCCTGGAAAAGCATGATCTTGCTATTTTTTGAAGTGAAGTTTTGGAGTCTGAGAGAATAATGAATTGAAAGATGTTTTTGTATAATATTACTTACAAGGCCTTATTGATAGCTACAACTTCAGCTGTACAAATTTGAGTATGGAAAAGAAACTTACTTGAGAATGCATAATCTATATCTAGACTATACATTCCAAACCCTGAGTGACCGGAAGAGTCTATTGAGCCATCGGTAAAGAACCTGGTGTAAAATGGGTGTTCCCTGATGATTTTCTAATATTGTACAATTTCTATACTTTCAGATTTGGTAGCGCCAATGTTTGCAATAGGAATGGAGGCCAAATGGGGTTGCAAGTCAAATTTATAACATGGTAAAAGCTCTGAAGTATATAAGTGAGGATTAACGACAGCCAATTGACTGATAAGCTGGATTAGTAGAGGATTATTTTTGTGTGATAATGGGATTGTTTACCAAAGACATATTTTTAATTAGGTACTTAAGGGATAGCCATTATCTTCTAAATCTAATGGGCAGTTCACCAGTCTCTGTCAATAAGGCTAGAATTGTATATCCTGGGAACATGGTATTATAATTTGATATCCATAATAAAAGTGGGACAAAATGATTGATTTATGTAAAATTCTTAATATTTGTGGGTCACAGTTAAGTAGGGTTACCAACCCTCCCAATTTATGCGCTTTTTTACTAAACGCCTCCAGCGGATATCTATTTTTATTTTTACTATAATTTAAATATTTTTCCGGCAACACATCGCAACGCGTCTTTTTTTTGTTTCCAAAGACAGAACTTGAGCTTAATATTAAAAATCTACCTTTCTTAATGTTTTTATTTTGTTATTATATTTAAAAGCGAACCGGATTTCTCGCGAAAGCAAGTTTTAAGGATTTTCTAACATAAAATTGTATTTATTTGCGCGCCACGGGGAATAATTCGCGATATTATGTGTCTCAAGAATATTGGGAGCTTTAAATTTGTGCAACGATAAGGCAGCAATTTACAGAGACGTTTAAAAAAAAAGGTGGAAATTTCTCCCATTTAAGATAATTATTAAAACAAAAAGTTGCAAATTTTCTTAGATTTATTACAGAACTAGCTGTTGCCCGCGGCTTCGCACGCGTGGTGTCTTGATTTTAATATAAAAAAGGAGCGATATGTTTTTTTAATTCATTTTTAATTGTTTTTATTTATTTATTTTTATTCATTTTTATTTATATTTATTTTATTTATTATTTTTTATTTATATTTATTTTATTTATTAATTTTTATTTATATTTATTTTATTTATTATTTTTGTTAATTTTTATTTATTTATTTTTATTTTACCAGTTTCCCCCCTTAAAATGTGAAAATTCAAAAACCCTGAAATACTTTATTTCCTAATGATGAGAAGCAATTCCAATTTTGATGTTCCCACCTATAAAAAGTCGATACTCTCATGCTTACAAACTTTTATCCCGCTTCCCCCTCCCCCACCCACCGTTTCCCACCTTTAAAATGTAAAAATTCAAAATCCTGAAATACGTCATTATTTACTTATGATGAATGAGTAGCTACAATTCCAATTTTCAAATTCCTACCTTTTAAAAAATCGATACCCCTCTACAAAACTTTCACCCCCAATCCCCCCTTCAAATGTAAATATCCAAAAACCCTGAAATACGTCATTATTTATTTATAATAATTCCCCACCCTTTCAAATGTAAATATCCAAAAACTCTGAAATACGTCACTATTTATTTATAATAATTCCCCCCTCCCCTTTCAAATGTAAATATCCAAAAATCCTGAAATACGTAATTATTTATTTATAATAAGTAAGCTATATTTCCAATTTTCAAATTCCTATTTCTAAAAAATCTATACTTCGATACAAACGTTTACCCCCATTTCCACACCCTTAAAATGTAAAAATCCAGAAAGCTTGTATTACGCAAAAAAATGCTTTTTTTTAAATTCCTTTTAGAATTTTTTAAAATAAATACTTTTCGTAAGTTTACAAAAAATACAAGGTTTCTTCACCCTAAGTTTTATTATTATTGGTGTTTTCTGAAAATTTTAGTTTTATTGTGTTATTTATGAATAAAAATGAGGGTTAAGGGGGCTGACATATTTAAAAAAATCCTAACCCGAATACAAATAAGAATATCAACTTAGTTTTTGGCAAAAATCAAGCTATATAAGGGGACAAATGATAGAAAATGGGGGTTAACTTTAAGGAGGTATGTTAAACTGTGAAGAGTATAATATAGAATGCCAAACATTATAATATATATTCATTCTAGTTTATTCATTTTAAAACAAGTTAAATATAAATGAATTCAATAATTTTAAAACTAAGAAAGATAATCTTAAAATTATCTTAAGATGTTATAAAAAAAATACGGGTGGAAGCCAAACTTACTTAGTAACTTTGAAAATAAGAATATAATACATTTTTAAATTATTAAATCGTTAGATTTTGAGCAAATCATTTATTAAACATCCATTGTAACCAGCATAAATTGTAGCATGAGTTACCGTAAAGTTTTAGAACAGCCTTCATAAGTTTTTTAAGTTTATAGTACAAACCTATAAAATAACCTAAATAAAAAAACAACCATCCAAATGATCCACATAGGCAATGGTATTACAAATATAAAAATAACCACATTTAATATAAACACTGGTTCAATAGATTAACATCGCAATAAAATCAAATGTACAACATAAATTGATAATATACACAAATAAAAACAAAAAAAAAACATCCTACCTTAACATTAAATAGTGGATGGCCGCATAATAAAAACAAACGTTTCGACTCGCTTCGCTAGCTATATCGAACTTCTTATGACTTGTACCCCATGATATCGAAGTTGTCCAGGTTCAAATCTTCCAATTGATCTAGGTAATCCATGTTCGAGTTGCTGCCCAAGTGGGTGTTCACCGTCGTCGCCACCGAACCAGCATAACTGCACAGACATAACCAGACATCACATACTGCAACACAGACAACCAATAAAAATGAAATGGCAAAATAACCTAGTCGGTGAGTAATACAGGGGATCTACATAGCTAAAATACTTCAGTTTTATTCAACTTATTTTAGTTTATTTGGCAACCATTAGTTTAAACAAAATAGTAATTGTTGGATAAATATAACAACTTAGAGTATTATTAAAAATAAAAAGCTTTCTAAATATAACAGGAGCATTATTTTTAAATATTATCTTAGACTACATTGAAAATATTCACAAGATCTAATTTGTAGAATTAGCAATTATAGTATCTCTCAAAATACTGTTGTGGAATTTTTAAAATCTATAATTAAAAAAGAAAGTTTTACAGTTACATTGTTGCTATCAAAATTTAATTAATTTGTTAATTCATATATTTAATAAAAAAAATTAAGATTAAAATTGTTAGTATTATTTTAAAAGAAAGATAAACTTATCTTTAATCAACTGTCTAAAAATGACAAAATTCATACTATCTTTCCTTTACTATAAGATATAAGTAGAAAAGATTGTAAACAACCAAAATAGTCTTTGAGTGTAGTTTTAAGTCGTGAAATAGAACAGTTATATCTAATGATTACCAAATCAAAAATTACATAAATCAACTGAGACAGTAAAGCTCTTTTGTCCATTGTTCATACCTCATTTAATTTTAAATTTGTAATACAACTTATTCCCTCAATTAACCTATAAATGGCTTGTTTAAAAAATATTTTTTAATGTTAAGAAAGTACAAATAAATATAATAAATGTTTTCAAGAATTAAACATTTTTGCGACACTGAAAGACTCAAAAACAAAATTCTGTATGAAACATAAGCCTGAATATGAAAAATATTTTTTCCATGACAACCCCTTTCAATATCTCAGTAGACTAGGCTAAAATGTTAAAGCTACTTCATGATGAATTAAATTGAAATGTTGCAATGTATCTGGTTAAGTCTGTTTGCAGCATGCTAGTCATGAAATGGATTTATACCGACAATTTTAAGCGCCTGTATTAAATAGCCCCAAAAATCGCCAATTTCAATAACAATATCACAGATGCCCCAATATGAATCATAAATTGATTTATTAAATATACATATCGTTGGTGCACAAGAATAGTGACACAACTCAAAAATTTTCATTTTCGAGCTTATTGTGAAAATGTATACCATATTTTTATGTGGAATAACGTCGCTTTTTCCGACGGTCAATAAGACAAGATCGTCAATTTTCGACTAGAGTAACATAAATCAAAACATACCAGCTTTATTAAAAATAAACTAAGAACGTTATGTTCAACAGTGACATAAGTCACATTCGGACATTATTGTTGAAAAAGATCGTTATGATGATATACTTTTCTGGAAAATCGTCATAACTTAAAAAAAAGGAAGAACTATATTTTTGAGTTTTTTTCTGAATGTTATCAAAGTAAACTTGTTTGAATACAAGGTGAATTTCCCAAAAAAGAATAAAACATTTTTTAAATGCAAAATCTACAAGAAATTTTAAAATGGATGTCCTCGAAAATATCTGTTTTTGAGTTGTCATTATTCATGTATACCAAAGATATATCATAGAAAAATTGTATTATTGATTTTAATAATTATTATTATGTTGAATTGCAGAAACGTGAAAAATACTTTATTGAACGAGGTTTAATTGCTCATAAACACTGAAACACACCGCTTACTAATTTTATAAAAAAAAAAATACACAGCCATGCAATATCAGATTTATATTTTTGTATGGATAATGCACAACTGTTCTATAAACAATCAAAAATTATTCTCCAAAGTTATAAACTTCTTTAATTCAAGCTAGCTGAACACACACCACTATCAAAATTATTATGCAAAAGCATTATTAAATTTACCCACATCTAAATTCTTAGAAATAGTAACGTCATTATAATGAATGAATAGAGTTGAGCGATATTTCACGGACTATTATTTCAATCTTTATCTATCGATTTCATGTTGAATCTTACTAATCAGAATAACGATTCAAAGTTCTACAACATCGTCCAACTCTACTTTTTCTCTGAATTGACGTTGATCTTTATATTTAAATATTCTTTGAGAATACGGATGATATAATTATTGTAAACTGATTTAGTGCATTGATGTAAAATTGTTCAAATCCCTGTCAAGAAAAATGCCGTACAGGGTGAGCCAGCGACAATGAAACGAACTAATTATTTTCCAGAAAAATGTTCCTAGGGGGTAGACCGTTATACCCGAGACTACTCAATGGTTAATCAGCTATTCCCCTGTCACTCCAATCAACTACCCAGTCCTCGATTTAACCTCCTTCGTGGGAAAAAATTGTTATACAGCCCTATTATTTCATAGGGACAGTATTGCTATTTCTTAAACGGTAACAGATAGACAGTTGGTTAAGGGCCGATTACACCATTGTGTTAAACGAAGTTTAAATTACTAAACGAAGATTAAAATGACATTTTTACATTAACAATGTCATTTTAAAGCCTTTGGTTTTTCGAAGCCTAGTTCTATTAATTAATCATATAGTGAAAACGGCTTGCCTGGAAAAATGAACAAAAAACACCTTTATATCTGTTAAGGAAAATCGAATTTTCCATATGTTATCCCCAGGGGCCACTCGTAAATTTCCTTTCATTCTACTCAAAATCGATGCGATGCGAAAATGAGGCACCTAAATTAGTCACTATCTGACAGTCTATAAGAAAATAAGAATTATGAGTGATACCGACGATACTCAGTCTGAAAGGTCAGTGGAAGAAACAAAGAAAAGGAAACGAGGGGTCATAAATGACGAAAATTATAAAAGGAATGTTACCAAAAGGTGCATAGTTCAGGGGAAGGCTTACGTAAATTACAAGGAAAATTCCACACCTGTAATTTTGAACCAATCAAAATACGTGTTTTTGACAGATCACCATGGCAACGGAGGTATTTTAGTGGAAATTTTTTTCTCGTGGGGTACCCAACAGCGAATTATACTGGAAATTTTTTGACGTTTACAATAACAGACCATTTTTGACAGACTGGTTTTTATTTGTTCACATAATAGGTTTAGTTTTGATACATTTTAGTTACAATGCTAAGGTGTTTTCTATATTCTTCGGCCACTTCTTTTCTTCTTAATGGCGAAAATGCAGGACTTTGGATGCTTTGAATTATGTGTCTATGTCTAATAAAATATATATAATATTTAGACACTAATTTATTCACCTTTTTCCCATTCAGCACTTTGAATTTTGCGTAGTTTAGGTGCAAATATTCGTGGACAATTCGGAACAAATTTTCGTTTTTCAAGTTGGAGCCACAATCCTCTATTAATCCGAGTAAGTAAGTCATGGTGCAATGATTGATCATTACATCAGACAATTTCACGCATATTTTGCATAGCGTATGATTTTCAAATCGATTCATTTTTAAACAAATAGGTAATTTTGTTGGTTTTACTTGCTGTGCAATATTCTTTATCGCAACAAAACGCGAGTTATTTAATGTTTTGAACTGTCAAAATACAATGATCACAGCCTCCTACGATTGATGCTTGCTGACGCTGGTTATGAATTTCATACCATTTTAAAGCGCTCATAACGCATGTTAATAAAAACGCAGAAAAACAATTTTCTACCACTTGTAGTTATTCAAAACTTACGTAAAATTAAAGAATATACTATTTTCTATTTTCAAATGGTATTCCCACGCAACTACAATGAGTAGAAATAAGCAATTTGAAGGCCTAAATAATTGCAGCGAAACATTGTTTTATGTCGGGCCGCTTGACAACTTCAAAACTGAAATTATATTCGAGGTTAGGGTCTCACTTAGTTACCATGACAACTCAACAATCAAGGCGACAACACCTTTTATGTTTCACTGGTGACTTGGAGGAAATAATTTGCATTGTTGAGAAACGAAAAATAAATTTTAAAAATATTTAATTTTCAACCATAATTCGGCGTGGAATTTTCTTACCAAATACCACGCGAGGTCAAATTAATATCAGGAAATTTTTTGACCTCTAGTGGTATTACTAGTGAAAATTCTGTAGATGCAAGAAAGCTTGGAGACGGGTGCCGGTAAGTTTGCAATCAGCAAATTCTTTCGGTAATTATGTACTGACCATTCTTTTTTTTTTTAGTTGTCCAATGAAATGCTGATATAAAAGATGCGCTTTTTACTCGCTTTCTTTCAGAAGAGAACAACGTACTAATTCGCCAGCATATTGAATCATTCCCTGTTAAGGAAACTCATTACAGCAATAAAACCTATCTATATCTTGATGCTAAACTCAATATGAAAATTATGTTTGATAGGTTAGCTGTTGTTAACATAAAAAATATCTAAGCAACTCTATCTTAAACTAATTATGTCAAAAAAGGAATCTACTGATGAGTGCAAGATTCGTGATGATCTGGTCGTAATAACATTTGACTACATGCAGAATGTTCACTCACTTGAAGTTCCAGTCCAGGGTTTATTTTATCTAACACAACAGTCAGTATTTTTGGTATACACAACTGTAAGACTAGCAAGTCATTCTTTTATATTTCCTATAAAGGTGTTGCCAATAAGGGACCAAACGAGGTATGCTCGTTCCTGTGGGACTATATTCAACGTGAAATTTCAGAAAATGTCCAGGAATTACGTCTTTATAGTGATAATTGTCCCCGGCAAAACAAAAATCATACCATGATACGCATGTGTACAGCATTAGTAGAAACTAATAGATTTAAAAAAGTGGAACAATTTTTTCCAATCAGAGGGCATTCCTTCTTGACTAATGACCGAGACTTTGATGTCATTAAACGACATTTAAAGCGATCCGATCGTATATTTTCTGTTCACGAATACACTGAAATAATAATAGCTTCAAGTGCACAGAAAAAATTACTGTCATGGAAGTTTCAGGAGAAGAAATCATAGATTTTAAGCAATGGTGGCCCAAATTTCACAAAAAAAATGTTTTCGTTGTAACTCAGAAACTCCTGGATATGTCATGTGCTCAGAATTAATTGGAGGTCTGACGAACCATACTTTTAACATCCATATGAAAAGAAATGTCGAAAGAGTTCCGGTTAGAATGCCTAATAAAAACCCCGATCAAGAGAAAGTTCCAATATTGAAAACAAAGCGATTGCATTACAAGCTTAATACAAATTATGTTACAGTTTTCAATAAATCTTTAATGTTTAAACATTATTATTGTTTATATTGGGGGCAATTCTTAGAAAAACAACTCACTGTTTAATATTTCAGTGAAAACGCCAAGTTGATTCCTTAAAAAAAATATTTTCCATTTATTAGATGGTAGGTACTAACTGCATTTTTTTGTAATCTAATTTTTTCCGTCATTATCAAAAAAATATAGCTGTTGTTAACATAAAAAATATCTAAGCAACTCTATCTTAAACTAATTATGTCAAAAAAATAGCATTATCACATTTTATTAAACTACAAATAAGTTTTTACTCATTTTCTCAAAAGTAACAAAATGTTAGTTAATACCTTTCTGAAATAAACGATTCAATTTAAAAATAAAGTTCGTTTCCATTGGCTCATCCCTATATATTTTACTTTTCGTTTCCAATAAGTTTATCAGTTTTATTTTTTAATTAACGAAATGGATAACAATTCAATATTGTTCTAAAAGTTTTAGTCGATCTTATGATATCCTTTTTAGTCCGTACTAATATAAAAAATAGGTTAATTCAATAATTCTCAAAAAAAAAACTCAATTTTTATTAGACTTTTACAATTAATACAAAATGCTTGCATCTCTTTTGTTCGCCGAAAATATCTTTATTGTTTTAAACAAGGCGTTCAAGATTGCTAAAAATATTATAAAAATAACAATAAAACTATATTATTTATGTGGTTAATACAAATATATTTTTAAAATAATACAAACTTATATTTCGATAAACATTCAGTCAACATTTTATCACATAAATATTTAAAATTTTGATACGTTTTTGATTTTTTGCTTTACTCCCTATCAAAGGTTACCAATAATGGTTAATTATCCATTTACTTTTTTCAGACCCAGTTGGCTTTTTGCAGGAAATTTTTGAAATGAAAAAAAAAAGTTTGTATTTTGAGGATTTCAACTAGCATTATAAGGAATCATTTGAATGAACGAAAAATTCGAAATGAATAACCAAAATTAGCAAATATATACATTTATACAATTTCAACGTTTACTTCCATCATCTGTACATTTTAAAATCATGATAGTATTTTAGAAAGTCCAACTGAGTGCCAAATAAAAAGTAAAGGTGTTTTAAAATTTATTCCAAAATACAAAATGAATACTCTCATGTTTTGTTTGTATAGACAAGCATGTGTTTATATAAAAAAAATTGTATAAAAAGTATAGCTTATAAACAGTAAAAAAAAAATATTAAAAAATACTATCACTAAGAATAAAGCACAATAACTTCACAGATATTTTTTTAGATTTTAGTTTAACATTTGGTCCTTTTTTCCTTGTTCTCAAAGATCAAGCATGCTAGGAAAGCTGACAAAAGAAATTCGAATGTATTTCCAATACTATACTATTAAGCAAAACTCACCTGCTAGCTACGGATGGCGTGTCTCGAGATGGATCTGGGGACTGCATCAGAGTATGCTGAGGTGTATTGGGATAGCTGTGACCCGTAAATCCTGGAGGAATTTGTGTCACTAATTGTGGTCTGACGTAGCCATTATTGGTCGAAGGTGGGTTATCTAAAATTGATATACATGTTGTTTATTTAATTTATTTACAGGCTAACTCATTTAAGTTACATGTTAAAATTATATTGGTGTCTTTTGAATGTTGTGCTTTCTATTTACAGAAGAATCGAATGTTATATTATCCTGAGAGTTTGCCAATCTAAGTATCCAAGTAATAACGGTTCTATCAAGCCTATAAAAAGGAATATAAAATATTTGTGATTGCCTAAATCAGGTCTCTATGTTTTCTTCTAGTTTCCAGAGGGTATCTTTAAAAATTGCTTAATTTTATTAACAATATTAAAAAGTAAGATCAGGTCTCTAGGTTTCCTTCTGGTTTCTAAAGCGGATATCTTTAAAAACTGCTTGATTGTTGTATAATCATAAAAATTTTGTAATTTAAGGCTATGTACCTAAGATAATTGTTCTGAACATGATTGACTTTTAATTTGTATGTAACATGATGCGAGGACCCTAGAGGTGACTTCTAACTAAAGTATTATAAAGGTTTAATAGCTGTTACATCAGTAAAGTCACGGGTCGGGCTTTTGATAAATCCTAACATTTTCATAGATTTACTTATAACTGAAGAGATGTGATGATTAAAGCTAAGAGTTGTGTCAAACATGACCCAAAATCTTTTATTTCTTGACCATTGATTGTGTAGTCAAATATAGTGGACTATTGAGAACGATGGAACCAAATAATGTGACATTTTCATACATTTAAATTAATGCCATTGTATTTGCACCAATTAGATAATTAATATCAAAAGTAAGAAATTTCTGTGCCAAAAAGTTATATCATTGACAAATAAATTAAAAAGAAGCGGTACCAAATGGGCACCTTGGGGAACTGCAAAAGTAACAGGTAATGATGAGAATAGTGACATTTTATTTTGACTACTATTTGAGGTCAGTTAAGAAGGTGGCTTTTAATCCATTGCAATATACGTTTTATTTAAATGATGTAAGTAAAATATGCAGTATTGGCTTTTGAACATTTTCCAATATGGTTTGCACAAGTGGATGTGAACACTTCAGAGAGTTAGCATTAGGGCAAGCAAGAAACGAAGTATATCAGTGTTGTCAGCTTATACATCCAGCCAACGTTACAATGCGGTCGGGCTCTATAAACTGGCAAAGCAGATATTATTCGTTTCATGCTTGCGCTAATGCTAACTCTCTATAGTTTTTACATCCACTTGTGTAAATTGTATTTGGAAACGTTTAGTGGCCGACACTGTATACTGTTCAACATTTTTAAATACTACTGTATAGCTAAATATATATTTTTTAAATCTTTCGTCTATCGTATGAAAATGATGTAATTTTATAAAAATTAATGTACACTGTCAACCTCAGTGAGCAGCGATTAAAGAACACCGCACGTTTTAAGTGTATTTTGGCTTTTACTCCCGGGACAGAGCTAGTTTTTACCATGCTCTTCAAAAGTAACTTTGAGCAAAAAAATAAGAGAATTTCGAGATATTGGCCATTGAAGGTGTTTACCCACTCGTCAATACCAGTTTTACTTCCCTAGATAAGAGGGTAGCATTGTAATAGTTAAAAAGTCACCCTCCGAGATTATTTCAACTTTTCACGTTTCAGGGTCCCTAGATTACAAAAAAAAAATTTTTTTTCCATTCCATCGATCTGTATGTCATTGTCTGTCTGTTGGTGCGATAGCTCAAAAATGGCTTCAGAGAAAAACTTCAAATTTTGTATGGAGGTAAGGTTCCGTTCAGACTCGAAACTATTTATATAAATATTCAAAATGGCGCTGAAAGAAATCGCATTTAATCAAAAAGATCCGCCTTGAACGAAAATAATAAAAATTGTCCTTTTGGTTTGTTCAATAACAATACCGAGTGAAAGCGAAGTGAGAATTCGGGTGGGATCAAGAGAAAGATCGATGGAGAGAGAAATGTGAAAAAATTTTGTATACAAATAAAGTTTCTTTCTGGCTCAAAGCCAGTTATACTTCTGGTCAGTTGGTGAGCAGTTTTAAAAAATAATTTATTTTTAAAATTCGACAGATTTCCATTAAAATTGGCATCTGGGTATTTTAGAGGTCAAGGATAACAGCTTTTAAAAATTAAAAATGGCGTTGTGAGGAATCGTATTTTATCAAAAAAGGTCCCACTTGAATGGAAATAATAAAAAGCGTCCTTTTGGTTTGTGTAACTGGGCCACTTTAAAAGCAGCCAATCATTATCGTTCAATAATGGTGAAAAAGGGTTTTCTTGATTCGATCAGAATTCTCACTTAGGTGTTCTTTGTCAGGTTCGTAAAATGGCGTTCACTGTTTTTATTATTTCCATATCAAGGGAAGTTCTGCCAATTTTTTCCTTTGAAATAGCATTCAAAACTTTGTTTATGACCATTGGTTACATGCAAATATCGTTTAAAGATATATATGTTTATACAGTGGCCAGCAAAATTATGGAACAAATTCATTATTTCAAAAATAAACAACTATTGAGAAAAATCCTAAAACAAGTGGATTTTTATTTGTACATAATATTCTCAATGTTTTGCTGCAAATCAATTACTTATGTCCACTCATTGACATCTCTACCATCTAGCAATGTATCCACTACTATTATTAGGGCCTATTTTACTTGGGAGTTGATGTCGTGCATAACCCAAATACGGCTGAAATGTGAGAACACGTACTTAGCGTTCTTCCTCCGGACAGACAAAAATTCAATATTAACCAAATCCAATTTTAGGTTCATATTGCATTTGTCAGTCATCTGGATATTTTCCAAATTTGTACTTGGTGCAAGGTCTGTAAGAAATGGTATTTGGCAGCATCCGATTTTGGTGGGAGAGTAGACAAATTTGATTTAATTTTGACTGACGATTTGATAAAGTATGTGTGCTGCAAAATATCTAAGGAATCTTCCTTATTGTCACATCCATACAGTTTATCAGAATTTAATCTTTTAAAACTATTATTGTCATTTTGCGTTTAGGAAAACACCCCTGCAGTGAGTGAAGTTTTGTCACATAATGAGCTGCAACTCGTTAAGTGTTAGAAATTTAAAACATTTTTATAAGGAAAAGTTGTTAAAAATTTGATATTCTACAACTTTTATTAAGGCTGTTTTGCTCTAAATGTTTAGGAAACCACCACCCCTATAACGCAAATCAAAATAGTGTTTTTACGTTTATTGAAATCTTGAGAGAAATGGGTTATCCTTAATTAATTAGCAGGTGGTTAAAAGAATAAAAATGTATATATTCTAACTATATATTCTGTCTTATCAGTGCAAATCAAAATTAAAAGATTTACTGATAGAAAATAGAATGCAATTTTAGTCACAAAAATGTAATGGTAACTGGAACTTAAAAAAGTTTATTAAAAAAATATATTTTTTAAAATATACTTATTTAAAATGTACAAATGTTCTTACCTTGATATGGTGTATAATATTTTCCAAATGGAAGGTCTTTTTGAATATCTGGATATAAATAAAGTAGATGATTCAAATCTGAAATACGGTCAGCAAGAGATCTGATGGCGAAATCTTTGGATGTAAATGGTTGAAGACTGAAAACTTCTCCAGTATCTAAAAAATTTCAAAATTTAAAATGTATGCGTTTTATTTATTTTTTACTAATTACCTGAGCCCCAAGCAATAGTTATGCCTCCTAATTCACTATCCGAAAATCTCAACAGAAATGTTCCACAAAGACAACTGCTTAATAATTCTTCGGCCTGTCTTTTTCTTACAAAACCCATTATTGCACTAAAAGTATTAAATATGTATTTGGATGTGATGCTTTATAAATATTTTGAAAATTGCAAAAAATACAAGCAATTTATTTAAAACAAGTTATTGATTAAAAAATATATATTAATGTACAAACCCATCGACCCAAGGTCCCCTCAGATGCTCCCTTGTCAGTTTCATGATGGCATAGAACCATTCCCAAAATGTGAAGTTTCTATCGCTTAATGGCTCTTTGCAAAATTGAGCCCACGTCAACATAGAATTCGTATTTTCATTGTAATTGCCTCTGAAGGCTTTTTCAGCTAAAAAGCGCAAATTGTCTTCCGTCAAACCTCTACCAGTAGCAGCCCGGAATTTTAAAGACAACGTTTCTGCTACCTTGTTCCAAGGTACCTACAAATTATTTATGGGAATTAACAATGCGTTAATACCAGAGATGTAACTACTAACAAAAAAAAAAAATTATTAAAAAAAATAATAATTATTAAAAATTAATGAAAATTAATAAAAATGAATAAAAATTAATAAAAGTGAATAAAAAATAAATAAAAATGAATAAAAAATAAATAAAAATGAATACAAATGAATAAAAATTAATAAAACGAAATAAAAATGAATAAAAGTAAATAAAAATGAATAAAAATAATTAAAAATGAGTAAAAATAAATGAAAATGAATAAAAATAATTAAAAATGAGTAAAAATAAATAAAAATTAATAAATATAAAAAAATTATTAAAAATAAATGAAAATCAATAAAACTAATAAAAATTAATAAAAAAGGTAGTCATGTATTTTTTTTATATTATTAACACGACTACATGCGAGCAAAGTCGCGGACAACAGCTAGTATATTATAAAATAGGCGAAAAACCGAGTTAAACAACAAATAAAACAAAAAATCTCATTTTTGCAAAATTGACATGTTACTTGTTATAATACGGACAGGAAACCTTTTGAATTAGACATTTTTAGTAAAAAACCGCTAAATAGGTGTAAAATAATTGAGATTTATTATAAAATTGACAAAAAACCAAGTTAAACTACAAATAGAACAAATTTTTTTCGCTCTTGTTATACTACGGATAGGAAACCTTTTGACTTTAAACGTTAAATAGGTGTAAAGTTTTGTATAACTCTGAGAGGCTGTAAGGTTCTATCATATAACCCCCCCCCCCCCCCCCCCCCCCAAACAATTATTCCATATCGAAGGATTGACTCTAGTGATTTGTAAATAATAATTAGTTGTTTGTGGTTTATAAACTTTCTCATTTGATAAAATTTGTAAATAAATCTTCGCAATTTGGTTATAAGATATTGTATTTATTTCATTTGAGATTTTGATCAATTATGATTCCTAAATATTTTGTTTTTCAACCATATTTATTTTGATGTTATTGTGTAGGTCAAAATTCGATCGATTTACATTTGTTAATAAAAATACTATAAACGTAGTTTTGCTAACATTTAAGAAAAGTTTATGAAAATATAACCAATTTTTTTAACACTACTTATGCCCAGTTGAGCTTTGATCTTTACATCTTTCCAAGTGTGATTAAAAACTATAGCAGTGTCATCTGTATATGAAATTACTTTCCATTATCATGTGTCTTCAATAGGAAGTTTATATATACTAAAGACAGGGTTGGTCCAAGAACAGTTCCTTGGGGGACGCCTATTTTTACTTCTTCTGAATTAGACATTTTAAATAATAAAACACTAAGTAGGTGTAAAATAGATGAGAAAGTGAGTTAAACAACAAATAGAAATTATTTTAAGTAAGATTCCCAATTTCTGCTACAATAAGCTTGAACCAGAGATAACAGGAGATGTAACTACAAATATCATGCTGTCGTGAATAAAATATATTCTAAGGAACACAGGACGCTATATCTGCTGTTGTCATAATTTTGTTTACAAAATTATTTACATATCATAAAAAAGCTAAAATAATTCAACCTATTTTATTGCAACTGAACTCAAAAAAAATTTAATCAATAGTTATATAAAATTTAACTAAATTAGATGTAATTTTATTAAATTAATGTAATCATTTTTAATAAATTCCAAAACCTAGCTAAGAATTTTTGTGGGGCTTGCATTTTGTACGTTGTTTATTAAGGGCGTACAACAGCTATCATATCTATGCACTTATAAATTTTTTTTGTATGGTCATCAAATCCTTCAGTTCATCTTTTTCCATACCTCACACCACATGTCTCTTCACTCCTGATCTACAACTGGACCGTATCGACTGTGGTATCGAATATATTTTATCAATAAATAGCTATATTTTCTTGAATAAGGATAATTTCCTGACGGTAGCAGAATTTTATATAGATAAAACTTTCCTTGGTTTATTCAGTCATGTTTTTAATTTCAACCGTTTAGCACAGCACTACATATGTTTCGGGTTTTTTTTTTTTCATTTTTGGATGCAGTCAAAATTTAAAATTTTTTAAAAAAATACAAGGGGACGATTACAAACATATTTCCTGCTATCTCTGGTTTGAACCCTTGGGGTCCCAGTCACAGACCAGGGCGATAAAAAAAAATAGGAATAAATATGTAAAACAAACTTACTTTATCTGGTACTGCAAATGGCACTCGTCCTGGTTCACTAAATGCATTATCCCAAGTCACCGTAGCCCAAGCATGTGGTTCTTGATTTCCATGTACAATTACTACAACTGGTAGACTTAGAGTCCACACTTGGAACATCAGTTCACCACCGCCAACGCTAAATTGGGATTGAAACAAAAGCGAGAACTTTTCATCCATCACACTTTCAGTACCTTCAAAAAAATACAAAAATTAATAAGTAATTATGTAACGACTTTATCATCATTTATACCTTTCTTTTCAGCTCTCTTGATTTTTTTTAACTGCATATTTCTAAAACTGACAGAAAGTTGTCTGGTGTTCTGTTGATACTCCATCGTACCGCTGTTATTCAAAATTTCCCCTGAAGTTTCTCCACTTTTGCCCAGTTTATCACTTTTCAATAACATGTTAGCTTGGGACTCTGATATTATGGTCACCTTCACTTGCGGAGGAGTCATGTGTACATTCAATTTACCACCAACTAATAAACGAACTGTTGCAGTGAACCTTCAAAATGGAAAATAAATTTAATAATTTAGAAGAAACACAAAAAACTTATTTCAAAATTAAAGTTACTGTTAATTAAAAATAATTGAAAAATTACCCAGAAAGTACACCAAATAAAATACCTTGTATTTGTCTTCATAACTTGAGGTGGTTGTTTTTCAATAATAAAAGTAGATGTCACTAAAGTTGATAAGAGTTGGGTGAACTCCTGTACAAGCTGAGGAAGCACATCAGCAACTACAGGTGGATAGTCTACCTGTAATCTAGATTTTAATCTCTCAACTTCTTTAGTTTGCTGTCGATTTAGCCAAATCAGCTCGGCCAAACTTTCACACCTAAAATATGATAGAAACGTTTCATATTTCCAAAATAAATTAAAGCTGTACATGTAAGGTGGTCCAGTTAATATCAGAATCTTACCAGCCAATAGATTATTGAAAAATAAAGGTAGTTTTTCGGACAATACATAGTCCAATGATGTTTCCTTTTTGATGTAACTGACATTGATGAAAATAGTTATATAGATTGCCCAAAGCGGATATTGCACGCGGCCATTTTGCCTCTTCTCTCTATCTCCACTCTACACCACTCCGCCCTATTCTACCTCACTATACCCCCCACTTTACCCCACGCAACCTTCACTCTACCCCAACCACTCTACTCCATTTGCTCCTATATGAACGTGACATTATCATTGTTACATGCGTGACGGTGTAACGTTACATGTTTTTGAAATTTCACTCTCCATTCTTCCTTAAATATCGGACCACTGCCTACTTATCAAATATCGAACTGGGGCCTAAGAAGTTTTAGTTCAAAAATAGTTATTAATGTCATGAAATTCCTAAAGCCCACCCTATGTACGCGCGACCTTCAGATGGCAACCGACTCGTGCTCGAGGCGACGGAACGTTCAGGAATGCCGCTGACACGCTAGAAACGGCTAGAACGGGCGGAAAGTGCCGTTTAGTCATAGAAATGGAATTTTCTGGAGCCTCTGGAAACTACGAGCACAAAATTGGCTTGGTATAAATAGCCGACTCATCGGCGCACAGTTTAGTTTAGAGTATTGTATTGAAAAGTTGAAGAGTAAATAAATTAGAATTGTTAGTTAGTGTCTAAGTATTATATACATTAAATAGTACGTCTGAAATAAATTGTAAAGCGTGTTTTTAAATAAATAAACTATAAATAAATTAGACTATCATTACATTAAGTAACATCTAAAAAAAATGAAACCAGCAATTTGGCCACATCTGAATACCTGAACCCTCTAGATAAAAGAAAGCAAAATTGGATCATATTTTATCAGATAATAATATTTATTCGGCTTTGAGACATATATATTTACAATATTTTAAAAAGGTTAAAAAATGTATAAACATATAAGACCTATTAGCCTTGTCAAAACATACAATTTTAAAAAGTAGAGACATGCTACAATTGAGTTTAAAATAAAGTACAAATTAAAAATAGTATACAATGGGGCAAAAGCATTAGACAATAATTATAATAAAGAGAAACCATTACGGATCACAGAGTATCATTCATAAATTCTGCATAGGAGTAATATGTTTTGGACGAAAGTTATGCATAAAGCTTATTTTTGAATACATTAAAGATTTTTTCATTACGATTGACTTGAGTATATCTATTAAAACATGCAACACCTCTGTAGATTTCGGAATTCTGTCCAATTGAGAGTCTAGAGAAAGACTGCTGTAGATATTTTTGATTGCGTGTGTTATAATTGTGTGTGTCTATAATCTGATAGCTGGTATTCCTGTTTTTTTATATTAAGTATTAGTAAGTAATAGTAAGTATATATACAAAGATGGAAGTGTTAGGATTTTAAAGTCATGAAAAAGTTGTTTGCAGATAGTTGTTCTTGAAACCCCAGCCATGCATCTTATAACTTTTTTTGTACACAGAAGGCTCACTTCAGATGAGCAAAGCAGCCCCAAAAAATTAGACCGTATGAGATAATTAATTCAACCAAACCAAAATATGTTAATTTTAAAACATTGGGATTTACAGTGTTTTTTAACTGCCTCAATAGAAAACATACACTACTTAATTTATTTGATACATAATCTACATGGTTCTCCCACGTTAACTTGCTGTCAGTTATTATAGGCGATTTCGAATACTTTAGCCAGTTGACTTTGAATACAGATGTTCCTATAGTTTGCCATGTCATTTACAGACCCTTTATTTTTATATATAGAAATGCTTATAGAAAAATCTTGAAGCCTTGCTTCACTATAATTTGGTAGAAGATAGTCTACATCAATAAACTTATTATTAAAAGCATTACATATATTTTGTACACCAGAAATTTTGTTGCCTTGACAATTTAGCATCTCGATGGGTATTTTTTTTTTTACTGATTTTCCTTTTGCCTCATTTACAATTCTCCAACATTCTTTTGTTGAATTTTTTGCATTAATTACCCTTTTATTATTATAGGAAAGTTTTGCTGATTTGACTTTATTATCATAAATTATTTTGAGTTTTTTATATCTCTCCCTAATAGTATCATTATTACTAGTTATGTATATACTATGTAATTCACACAGCATCTCATGCAATGCACTTAGTTCCGCGTTATAAAAATAATTTTTATGTCGTTTAGGTTTAACTTTTTTAAATGTAAAAGCGTTGTTGAAATAGTACAAAAAAGTCGAATAAAAGCTGTTAAATTTGTTATTGAACTCAGATGAGTTATACATGTCTTCCCATGACTCGTTAATAATTATATTTTTAAAGATAAGCTTGTTACTGTCACTTAAATCCCTAACAAAAGATTGTGTAATTTCTACCTAAATTTTTTATTTACAAGTTGAATTCACAGAGTTGTAGTGAATGGTCTGATAGGAAACTATTTTGAACAATAACATTTTTATATTCAATATTTGTAAAAAGTGGATCAACTAAAGTTGAGCTAATACTGGTGACCCGTGTTGGTTTTGTAACAATATAAAAATTTTGTTTCATTACTATTAATAAGTCTACATTCATATCACCGCATACAGCATAATATCTAGAGGGGTTATAGTAAAAACACAAAAGGTCATATAACCTATCAGTAAACAATTTGAAATCTGATTTGGGTGGTCATAGAGAGATATGACAAAAACGTCCTTATTTTTAAAGATAAATTCACAAACATTTATTTCAATAACTTTCTCAATAGTACCTTTATTTAACGAAAAAATATCAGGTGATAAAATCCAGACAATATAAACTGGGCCACACTGTAGAGTAATTAAAAAAAAAAAAACGTACCATTCCTGAATTGTGTCCAAGTTACTGTTAAAAGTTGCCCCATTGCCAGACAGTTGCTGATCACGTTTCCATTTAATGAGTTCTTCATCCAAAACTTGTGTCTGCAATTGTGCCAAAAGCTGATATGTTTCCTTTAATTTTTCACCCAGAGCCAATCTCATTTGCATCAAGCCAGCCAATTTTTGATTAAGATTTTGCTCTAGTATTTCCTTACGTTTTTGAAGCTTCGCAGCGGTAGCTTGTTGTTGAGCATTTGGTTGAGAAATCATTTGTTGCAATGATGCTGAAAACATTTAAATGTAAAAAAATGCATAGTTTGGGAATTCACTTCGAACCAGAGCTGGGGATATATTTTCAACTCAGTGAAATATTTTAATACTTACCACTAATTTTTGTACATTCATGATATTGTAAAGCAAATGATTCCAATTCACTTTCCATTATTCTCAAATCTTCGGCAGTTCCCTAAAAGACAATCAGATCATTAATAATTCTGAAAACATAAATGTAAAATATAAATACCTGAGTTCTGCTTCTCAAAATATTGACTTTTTGCAAAACCTCAGCACCATTATTCGATATCATCAAATTTGGTAAACCAGCCAAATTATCCGAACCTGCAGCCTGTACAAGCCTCATTTCAGCAGCTAGTCGATCTCGAATAAGTGTAAATAATTGTATGGGACTGGATCTAAAATAACAGCTATTTATGCACCACTAACCAAAAGAATACAAATAGAACACTTTCTATGTATGACAACAATTAATCAAATGATTTAGTTATGATTAGTGTACACTTCAAAAGTATGGTTGACAGTATAATACAATAAACAAAAACTAACAACAAAATATCGTTTTACAATTACTGATTATCTGCAATACAAAATTACCCTGTAGTTTGCATTGGATGGTGAAGTTGTAATTATTTTTCTATTCTTACAAAAATATTTTATCTAAAATGAAATGGTTACATTTAAACTTAAGTATCTATACTTTTGAAGCATATAGTATGACATGAAATATGAAACAAATTTACTAACCCATATCTTATTCTCAGCTGTTTTGCAGCTTCAACAAGTTTAAGCTTAGTAAGAAAGTATTCACTGTCACTAACTACTGCAGCTTTGTTTTCTATTTCTGCAATTAAGGAATTTACCAAACCTGCAATGTATTGTTCATGCTGCGGGTTGTCCACTTGTGGTTCTATATCAGACCTAAAAAGAGGTTTTGTTTTCAAATAATCATGTACAAATTAATGATGAAAAATTTGTTAAAAATTAGAAAGCTTGCAGCTAATTACTCTTAGATTTTATAATATATTGGGATCTGAAATTAGGATCACAACACCATCGGTACTTGACATTGGAACTACTAAAAAAAACAATATATAGATAACGATAGGAGAGATTAGTGGTTAGATATCCGAAAATTAGAGAATGCATTTTAGGAAAAAATATCAAAATGTAAACCACAATTCCTCCTATAAAATTAACAAATTCATCCTCACCCAAAGTCATAACAAATAAAAGAAAAATTGAAAATCATGAGAAATAATGAGTGCCCCAGCCGGTAATAACTACACCATTTAAGGAAGGGCAAAAGCAACAATTTTTTGAGGATTATGTTTCTCAAGAATACTCTAAATATGTGCAAGGATAAGGTAGCACTCTACAGACATTTAAGAAGAACTATTATATATTTACAGAGATGTGAACTGGTAAATTACCGATAAATTACCGTAATTTAATTTACAAAGTAAATTACCGATTTTTGTGGTGAAAATTTTACATTATTTACCGTTATTTACCATTATATACGGCATTTTCTTGCAATTTACCATATTTCTCGAAAGCGACGCCGAATTTCGGTGAGAATAAGCGTTGGATAACTGCTCTTCATTAAAACTTCCCTCAAGGCATCAGTTATCAAATAAATTACTAAACAGTGAATACGATCGTGTAAAAAAGTCCGTGAACGAAAAAATTCATACTGCTAAGACTGTAGGGATTCAAATTGATGGTTGGTCTAATATTCGCAATGAATCTATGTCCTCCTTACGGTAATTTCAAGATTTTGTAACTGAGGAACTGTTTGTTCTTAGTTTTTGATGGTATGTAGGTTTTTTTTTTTTTTTTTTTTTTTTTTTTTTTTTAATAAAACAGTAATTATTTCAAGTTGAAGTTTTATTATTTTGTACAGATTTTTAAAAATGTGTCCGGAATATTCATTAGGAATGTCAGGAAATTGTATTTTGTAATATGGTAATCCTATTCTTACCACACCAGAGCCTGTGTTATATAAAATAGTAGATACGAAACGAAAGCAGCTCGTATGAAACAACTTTCATGTGCAACATTAAATCCGAATTAATTGATGAAATAGGCTTAGAGACAATGAAAGAAACATGACAGCTAGCTGGAATTTACTTGCAGAAAAGTATTGCCATTTATAAATCTAAAGAAGCCCTATTTGCTTAATACTTTGTATAGACCAGTTTAAAAAATGGAAAACTGTCAGCAGTAACTTGGTGGAAATAGATTTGTTCAACAACAAAGTTAAGCAAAGTAGCTGTAAAAGTATTAAACTGCCCACCGTCAACTGCTACCACAGAACAAAGCTTATTAACGTATGGAAATGTCAATACAAATAAAAGGAATCGACTAACAAATGAAAGGGCGCAAAAAAATTATCAGACAAAATTTAAATATAGCGGAATATTCATCCGGTTCATTACAATCTTCTTTGGAATCTGAATATGAATCCGATTGGTCTAAAGTAGATAGTGAAACTGAACTAGACAAAATAGTTGATTTAGAGTTCTCATTTAGTCCAGCTCATTGTAAAATGCCAACGTAACATATGCATAATATAATTAATAAAACATAATCTTATATAATTCTTATAAAATTTAAATAAATTTTGTTATACAAAGTACGAGGAACTTAAGTTTTTTTAGATTAAGCACCTGCGCAAACAATGTTTTGTTTTGTGTTCTTTTGCATTTTGTATTACTTAAACCTAAATTTAAATTATATTTAGTAACAAATAATTAGTTTTATTCACAAACAAATGAAACAATTCTATGTTCGACACAGACACACACCTTAATTTTATTTCCAAGTCATTATTAGTCATGTATGTGTATAAAATATATTACGGTAAATTACAGTAATTTATGACACAAATTTATTACCATGGTAAGTAATTTTGGTAATTAAAACCCGTAAATTACCAAAAACATAAATTACGGTAATTTTACATCAGTGTATATTTATTAAAACAAAATGCAGCAGAGTTTCAGATTTAATACAGAATGAAACATAATTTTTTTTTAATTCGTTTAAAACATTATCAAAATAAATACTTTTCGTAGATTTACAAAAATCAAGGTTTCTCCACCCTAAGTTTTGTTAATATTGGTATTTCCTGAAAATTTCACAAAAATCGGGCTAAAAATAAAGGTTCAGAATGAATTTGAAGTTTTCAAGGTGTTTGCTCTTAAGTATAAAAATATAAATCTTAATGAAGTCGTCATTAAAATAGAAGGCAATATTGTTGAGTAGATAACGGAATTCAAATACTTGGGTTTAATGTTTGACACTTTCATTTATCTTTCAATAGCCATTTTATTTGAAAAAAAAAAATCTCTCAACATTTAACCATGAATAACTATATAAAACTATTATTCAACCTCACTTTGAATATTGCCCTACCGTACTGTACACGTATGACAAACAAATCTCCACAAAAGCTTCAAAACTGGATAATCAGAACTATTTTAAGATATAACATGTTTACTTCTCTACTACTATAACCTACCGCACCCAGGTACCTTAATAATTTATTAATTCCATTTATTAAATAAAATATTGCATTTTTATTAAATTTAAAATCCTTCATTTAACGAAAAATCTCTCAGATAATTAAATCTGGGAGATAACCTGTCTATAAGAGATCCAATTTTCGTGAACGTGTCTGGGAACCCAGTCCAAAAAACCGCCATACAAAATAAATTTTGTCACGAAGTGGTAATCATTAAAACACTTAATGCACTTATCTTAAGTGTGTAAGTAACGGTGTTTCGATACACCAATTTTTCAAGGCAAGTAATAAATCTGCCACCCCCCTTTTCCACCCAGATTCATTTCCCACGGAAACTAAGACAAACTGACGTCACAAAAGGCCATTAAAACAGGTATAAAGACCCGAACCCGAGGGCCCGAGAAAGCATTCAAGTTTTATTATGTGATATTCATTCATTTATTATTTGTATCCAGTTATATTTCAAGTTCAGTAGTCAGTATCTTTCCTAAAACGCTCTTCCTAAACAACGTATATCCTACACTATCTACTATCCCCTGAACGCTGTCACGTCCCGCACCACCTAAATATTTCTACCGTATATCTGTTCCGATGCAGTACCGTATTAAATACCTTCCTCCCCACTACGACGCTAGGAGCCTCGACGCAAGACGCTTAACGCTGCGACGTATCTAAATTGACGCCGTCACAACGCTAGATGAAATTAGTACATAATATCTAGTATAGACGAATCTGTCTGTATTTTCAATGTGAGTCAAAAGATTTATGTAACTTTCTTTGAGATACCACCGGGGTTTCGTTTGAACGAGGGCCTGACATTTTCTGCAAAATATTATCAAAGTAACCAAACAAAACAACATGGCCTTCAGTCATTCACCCTGAAAGACAGTTAGGATAGATATCTGTTTTCGATGGGTGAATTTGAGATTTGATAGAAATTATAAAACTCAATATTTTAGAAATATACAGGGATGTGCTATCTTGGATAAATTGTACAAACTAAGATGGTAAAATTTAACAGTAAGTTAACTAACTGGTGAATACACTGTTCGTTAGCTCAAGGGGGCACCTATATGCTAAGCCACCCATTCTAATAGGATTGAAACAAAGTATATGTGAAATCAACATAGTAATTGGCAAATTGACGTTGTTCGTTAGCTCAAGGGGGCACCTATATGCTAAGCCACCCATTCTAATAGGTTTGAAACAAAGTATATGTGAAATCAACATAGTAATTGGCAAATTGACGTTGTTCGTTACCTGCGTTGGTCATCACCTCTATACTAGTCGAAATATTTACCTAAGAAGGTATAACCTGTGTATATCTAGAATAGAATCAAGCTAAATAACATCAATACAGTAGTTAACCAACTGGCGAATTGACGTTGTTCGTTAACTCCATTGGTCATGAAGCTAAATAAAAATATCAACATCAACACAGTAGTTAACCGACTGGCGAATTGGCGCTGTTTGTTAACTCCGTTGGTCATCAACCTAAATAAAAGTATAAACATCAACACAGTAGTTAACCAACAGGCGAATTGACGCTGTTCGTTAACTCTGTTGGTCATCAAGCTAAATAAAATATATCTTGATAGCAAATGAATGTGGTCTGCGTTTGAACAGGACTCAAGTGAGATCTCAGTAAATAGTACCAATTGTAATACATTTTGCTAATTATTGCATCACATATAAAGTACGAAAAATAAAAGAGTTTAAATATGAATTTGTATGTTTTATTTAACAATTTACACCAAACTTTGAATCGATTCCTGGTTTATCTTAATTAACATTATCACAACGTGGGTATATAAATTATCAATTAATTAACTAGATGATCACTTCTACTACTAGAGGAAAAAGGCCAAGTACAGTAAGTATAGAATTTAAATTTAAATAAAATTAAGAGGTAAATAATAAAGATTTCAGAGAGTAAAACAACGATCAAATGGGGTACCGGGGGAGGGCAGTCACACTACCTTTAATGCTGAAGACCTTAAAGTGATTATCTGTAGAGCAAAGACTTACATATTTGGCAATAGGCTATATTTATAAAATGGTTCATAATCTTCCACCTTCCTATTTTACTAGTTTTACAATTTTTCATTTAAGTTAACAACTACAATACCGGGTTTAAGGACAATTTATATGTAAACACCCATAGAGGTCTATTCTGTAAAAATTCCTTTATATTTAACGGCCTTTAAAAATATTTTCTTCTTTAATTCGGTCACTATTTAAACGGATCTTTAAAATACATTAGAGGACTATCTTAAAGAAATCTGTTTAAATAATGATAAGTAAATTAACGAATACGAACATATTTTTATAGACCGCCAATATTTTTAAAGGCCGTTAAATATAAAGGAATTGTTACAGAATAGAGCCCTTATTAACTTATTCAACACAAAAACATTAACCTTTAAATGTTTTATTGATTATAACAATCAGGGCCGCTGAGAGCCAGACCGGGCCCCAGGACAATTCTCCAGATCGGGCCCCGCGACAATTTTATAAAAGGTCTTCAAGCAAAAAATTTCTCCTCCTCTACTTGAATTTTTCTAAAAAAAAAAAAGTCTTTAAGTAAAAAATTTCTCCTTCTCTACTTCAATTTCTCTAAAAAAAAAAAGGTCTTCAAGCAAACATTTCTCTAAAAAAAAAAGTCTGCAAGCAACAAAAAATTTCTCCTCCCCTTCTCTAAAAAAAGTCTTCAACCAAGAACTTCCCTCCTCTTGTGTCCATCTTCTGAAAGTACCAAAATAATTCTCACGGCCGCTGCCGGGCCACCCTTATACCGCTGCCGGGCCCTCATTTAAGCCCGGGCTCCGGGAATTAGTCCCAGCTGCCCCCCCCCCCCCCCTCTAGTCGGCCCTGATAACAATTTGCTTAGTTATATAAAGAGTTATAGGACTTTTAAATCAATTTAAAACTCATTTAATGGATTATTTATATTTTTTCTTTTTTATACTGTTTATTGTATACATTTAATTCTTGTAGGTATATTAGGTTTATCCTACTTCCAAAGAAAGTATATTACCTACTTATTATTACTTAATTCCAGTGTATGGCTGGAAATATCTGGCAACTATAACTGTACTACGATTTTCATTCAAGGATTCTAAATTTGAATAAAAAGAGATAAGAAAATAGTTTTAGCTAGACATTGTCCACAACAAGGGCAAGGTTAAACTAAAGCTTAGGAAATATAAAATGCAAAAGAAACTGCAATATACATTTAAAACAGTTACACATGTGATGTTATATTGAAAAAGTATTTTGATAATTAACAAATTATTTTTATTATTTACTCATTTGAATTATAATACATACTATGTATGTTATTCATATTTAATTACTAAAATTACTCATTAATATTATTGATATTGATCTACAATATATTTCAAAACATGACTTTCAAAAACTGTTATAAATAATAGTTAACTTTTCTATTTATAAAAAAAATACTGTATCAGTATTTTTTTTAGAATAAGGAATTTATTAGTTTTGTTCCTCACATAACTATGTGACTCATAGCTAAAAGATATAGTTATAAATAAAAATTTTAAAGATAAGTAATAAATACACAAAAATAATTTCAAGATAAAACGTACCAGGTGGTAATAAAATTTATTATAAACATCATTTATAAAAAATGTAATATTACATTTGGATGGATTTTATTAAACAGAGAAAGTAGGTAGGGAATCCCCACAAAAAAAACCCACATAGTCCAAATTCCTGCAAATTTTAATGAATGGAAGTAAAAAAATAGTGATAAAATTAGAAACAGTCTACAAAAACTATGTAGGTGTGTGGTCGCCAATTTAAGAGGTCTTTGGAGAAGACTGTGCATACAGTTCATTAAAAAAATATATTTATTTGAATGAAATGGAAAAATGACCATCAGAAAAATACTAAAATTAAAAATTAAATCGTTTTATCTGTGAAAAAAGAGGTTGGAATGCAGTTAATGCCAATTTCAGCTGCTGTGATCATTCTCTCCAATATTATTTTTTATTCATATTATTTGGTATTTCCTACTAAACATTCTGTAGCATGTGGTGCAGATAAATCTGTTTACTATCTTTGCTTTAACATGTCACTATGAATGATTAGTTCCTATCATGTTTTACCTTTAATATATCAGCAATAAAATATTTTAAACTAACATCAATTCTAAAGATTTATTGCACCTGTGAAATATATGGTATCACTTTAAATTTTTGGCAATATTCATTTTTATTTATTAATAAATTTGTGTATTTTTATTTTGCTTACACATTAAGGAAATAACCAACATGGGTTTTTTTTATAAAAAACCACACAGGAACCTTTCAATGTGTGGTAGAAGTTATTGAAGCTCTTGAATAGTTAATTATCTTAAGAGTTTATCCCTGGATTTCCCTCAAAGTGTGCTCGCAGAGCCCTAGGACTCCTCAAAGCCTCTGTAGGGTCTCCTCCAAAATACTAGTCATAATAATAAGAATAATAATAAAAAATACTAAAGGAATACTGTAAGGTTGTAGGGTAAAATAAAATTTATCTAAATATTCTAATATAAAGTTTAAAAATCTATTTTTGTTAGGGCTACATCAAATAGTTTGCTTTCCAACAGGGTTCCATCATCAAAAACAGTTTGAGAACTGCTGGTCTAGGTAAAGCAATCCTTGAAAAACTCGAATATTGTGAAAGTGAGAGAAGGGCCATACCTTACTGTAAATAAAACACTATTTTTTCAAAAACAGTTTCTATTCTGGAAAAATTGAAGAAAAGTAAAACCAATTGACTTGGATGTGCCACAAAGAAATACCTGTTACAATAGGCAAGTTCTACTCATTCAATTGACTCTTTTAACTGAAAACGATCCTTTTGGAGTTCATTTATTCCAGGATAGTGACAGTTCAATGTTCAACACGCTTTTAAATGTCAGTTAAAAGCACCCTAAAAAACTCCACTCATGTCCCATTCCAGCCCCTGACTATTTGAACTCACCTACTGTAAGAGTTAAATAATTCAAAACTAACTATAACCAATTATGCACAACTAGTGGTTTGTTAGTCAGGATAGTTATGTTCAGAGTCGAGATGTCACAAGTTCATGTGACAATACTTTGGTCTTATTACAGTAATGATTTAGTGATTTGTATGTCACAAGCAATGGTTGTTACTCAATAATACAAAACTCATGTCATTTTGTTTCAAAGCCTGCATTCTGGTCATGACAATTTAAATATTTAGATAATGGAATGCTATTTTGATTGTAAAAAAATATAGTAATATATGGGTGTCATTTCTCAGGTTACATTGAGGAACAAAGCAATGACAGAATTCAAACAATTTACACTTACAAGAAAAATTGCTACTTACCAAAATTTTTCCTCTATGTACTGAGCTAGGTAGTGTCTTACTTCTATGGGGAATATATCCCGATCACTATAAATTTGCTGCAAACTTCCAGGAGGAAGTTGCTGTATTTTAGTCCACAATGCCATTGTTAAGTGCTAAAAATCAAATGTTTCGAATGTTTAGTTCTCCTATACCTACAAAACGCTTATTAAATATTTAAAAACCCATTCGTCAGCTTTCTAAATGCGAAAATTTCTCAAGGTCATCATAAGCGGGACCCATTTATACACATGTAAGCATCTACATAAAATACTTGTTTACATAAATATCTAAATTAGAAACAAATGTATTGTACTTGATTTTAAAGCAATAAATTACCAGAAACTATGAAATTATTAATTTTGCCAACTGTAATTTTCATAAATAAATCATATCTGATAAAATAAGAAAAATACGATAATTTACCTATCACTGCATATCAACAACATGGCAACCTGAGCAATTTACTATCCTTTTTTAATGTTACTTTTCTTTTCTCTTAGAATAACTGTCAAGTGTCAAAGTTGCCATTTGATGCGAAGGCATATTTTAGAGAAACGATAATTCAAAAGAAAAGTATTTTCAAGTGATGATCGAATTGAAAATGATTATTTTTGGAAAAATTGACAATTAATTTTAAAAATTAGTTTCCAAATTTATAAAAAAAAAGTAGTTATTTTTTAATTTTCTTACAAATATTAAACTTATATCATTTTTTTACTGTTGAATATAAATTCTCGTCTTCAAATTATTTATGCAACATTAATCTAAAGAGTCACGCGATTGTAGGCAACTTAAAATAGTTTCAATGCCATATGGCTCGCAAATTTTTTTCTTGTCTTTTTGACATTTGATCAAAACTTTTTACCGCACGCCTATGGTTTATATCAAAAGTATAAGGCATTTTTCGCTGCATAAACGTTTATGGTAGTGTTTTAGTTTTTCTATAGTCAAATCCTTGATATAAGGCAACTTTTCTGCCAACGTATACTTATAGCTATCTATAAAAATAAAATCGAAATGTTGGAAATACCTATGACCATATTTATAATACCCGAAGACGAAATCAAAATTTTGAAGTACCAAAATGTAGTATATTATATTACATTACGAGTGTGGAAAATCACTTTTCACACAAGTGATGTACAATATTTTTCCTACGACCACAAAATAATTTCATCAAAAAATGTAAAACCAGATTATTATAATAATTAAAATGTATTTAAAAAAATAATCAACAATAATCGTTTTTATTCATTTTTTATAATTTCTAAACAAAAAAAAATTTAAAAACAAAAAAAAATCTGGCACAGCCAGAATTTGAACGCGGTCGCTCGACGGTCTCAAATTGCAAAGTTGACGCTCTAACCAACTGAGCTAACAGGCCTTACGGCAATTGATTGATCTAATCGCTTATGTGTTTAACCAGAATAAAAAGCAAATATATTTACAACAATTTCAATAATTTAACAATCATATCGATTTTAGTATTAATATGGACATTACATAGATCAAAATGGAAATTATGTCTTTGACATTTTCTGACAGCTACTGCGGAAAGTAGCATTCGTACGCGGGTGGAAAGTAAATTCTTATTCATACGCGTGTGATATAGGGCACTTTCCATAGGACTATATAGTGTGATATGTGTCACTTTCCTAAGTGGTCGTAGGAAAAGAATATTAAACAATGAAGTATACATTTTATAGGCCCTAAATTATATATCTTACCAAATGATTTAAAAAGTATTAACAAATTTTACTCTTTTAAAAATAAAGTCAAACTGTGGATATTAAAAACTGATAGAACTGTATTTAGCAATATAGTTAATAACGATTAAATAAAAAAGATATATATGTTTTTGAATTCATTTACTTACTTACTTACTTTTATAACAACTCAAAATAATTGTAAAAATCTGATGTGTCCAACACATGACTTTCTTATCTAGTTATTATAGGCTTTTTCCGATTATTTTGTACCACCTATTGCAGCACCTCTATAAGTGTTTAGAGGATAAACTAAATATATACATTTTCCACATACATCTACCTCGAAACATTTTTCTATATTCATTGAAAACGAAAATACTGAAAAATTTAAATTTAGCACTTTTCCTACAATTTTTCCATTACGGTCCATTTTAGAAAAATCATGTATAAACAAAAATTATAGAGATCGATATCGCAAACAACTTTTAGTTCAACAATTTTCATAAAAAATCAGAATTTTGCACATTTTATCAAATTTCTCGAATACGGACCATTTCAGGAAATTTTGACATAAGGCAAAAATTATAGAAAATAATATTAGAAGTAACTTTTATTTGAACAATTTTCTTCTCCAAACATAAATAACAGATATATTCCATAAAATATAAAAACGGCCTCCCATAAAGTACCCCCCCCCCCCCAGATGTTCAGACTTTGTCCAAAATCTAATCATTTCACGTCAGGCCGAAATAAAACTTAAGTTTAAAATTTAATGTTTTTTTCTTTATCCGTTTTTGAGTTTTCTTCAAATTTCGAAATTTACACATTTTCTCAAATATCTCGAATACGGTCCATTTTAGAGAAATTATGAATAGTATAGAAATTATAGAGAATTATGTTACAAACAACTTTTATTTGAACAATTTTTATAAAAAAATATTTTTTACATTTTGTCAAATTTCTCGAATACGGACCATTTTAGGAAAATTTTGTATTGAACAAAAATTATAGATAACTAGCTATTGCCCGCGGCTTTGCTCGCTACTTTTCTCGCATGTAGTCGTGTTATTAATATAAAAAAATATATGACTTCCTTTTTTATTAATTTTTATTAGTTTTATTGATTCTCATTCATTTTTATTCATTTTTTTATATTAATTTATATTTATTCATTTTTATTTATTTTTACTCATTTTTATTTATTTTTATTCACTTTTATTCATTTTTATTCACTTTTATTAATTTTTATTCACTTTTATTCATTTTCATTCATTTTTATTCACTTTTATTTACTTTTATTCATTTTTATTAATTTTTATCCATTTCTATTCATTTTTATTCAATTTTATTAATTTTTATTAATTTTTTTATTTTTTATTAATAATTTTTAATAATTTTTATTAATTTTTTATTAATTTTTAATAATTTTTAATGTTTAATAATTTTTATTCGTTTTTATTTATTTTTATTTATTTTTATTAATTTTAATTATTTCTTATTAATTTTTATTTATTTTAAATAATTTTTATTAATTTTTAATACTTTTTAATAATTTTTATTAATTTTCTATTAATTTTTAATAATGTTTAATAATTTTTATTCATTTTTATTTTTATTCATTTTTATTTATTTTTATTCATTTTTTATTCATTTTTATTTATTTTTATTAATTTAAATTATTTATTTTTATTTATTTTAAATAATTTTTATTTATTTTTTATTTATTTTAAATAATTTTTATTTATTTTAAATAATTTTTATTTATTTTAAATAATTTTTATTTATTTTAAATAATTTTTATTAATTTGTATTAATTTTTATGAATTTTTAATTTTTATTTTTTATTAATATTTAATAATCTTTATTCATTTTTAATATTTTTTTTTTAATTTTAGTTTATTTTTATAATACTATACCATACATAAATCTAACCACAAAGCACGTCATTATTTATTTATGCTACAATTATAATTTTTAAGTTCCAACGTTCAAAAATTTATACTTCTATACAAATTTTTACCCCCGTTTACCCTCTTAAAATGTGAAAATCCGAAAACCATGAAACATCATTTTTGATTTTCAATCAGTAGCTGTAATTCAAATTTTTATGTTTCAAACTTTAAATAACAAAAAAATATATACATACTATTAAACAAATTTCCCCCCCCCCCATTTCCCTCCTTAAAATGTTAAAATGCAAAAATCCTGAAACAATTCATTATTTATTTATGATGAAAACCTACAATTCCAATTTTCAAGTTCCTACCTTTAAAAAATCGATATCTCCAAATAAACTTTCACCCCCATTTCCCCCCCTTAAAATTTGAAAATCCAAAAACACGTCATTATTAATTTGTATTCATTAGCTGCAATTCCAATTTTCATGTTTCTAACTTTAAAGAGAACCAAAAACATAGTTACTTCCAAATAAATTTTCACCCGCATTTCCCCCCTTAAAATGTGAAAATCCAAAAACCTTGAAATACGTCATTAATAATTTGTAGTCAGTAGCTACAATTCCAATTTTCATGTTTCTAACTTCAAAGGGAACAAAAAAAATCAATAGTCCTATAAAAACTTTCACCCCCGTTTCCCCCCCTTAAAATGTGAAAATCGAAAAACCCTGAAACACGTCATTATTTATTTATGCTTAGGTAGCTGTAATTTAAATTTTCATGTTTCTAACTTTAAAGAACAAAGTTTGATTATAAGCTCCCTCCCCCCATTTCCTCCAATTTCCCCCCTTTAAAGTTAAAATTTTGAAAAATCCTTTCTTAGCGGATGCTTACGTTATAAAATAAACCTATGTTCGAAATTTCAGCTTTCTAGGCTCAGTAGTTTTGGCTGTAGGTTGATAGGTCAGTCAGTCAGTCAGGACAAACAATTTTATATATATAGATATAAGAAGTAACTTTTATTTGAAGAATTTTCTTCCATAAACGTAAATAACAGATATATTCCATAAAAATGACCACCTATAAAGTACCCTTCCAGATGTTCCGACTCTGCCCAAAAACTAATCAGTTCATTGGACGCTGGAACAAAGCTTAAGTTTAAAAGTTTTTCTGTGTATCGGTTCATGAGTTATGGTGTATACAGACACACACAGACATCATCGCGAAAATAGTCAAAACGGATTCAGGGGACCTCAAAACGTAAAAATCCGTCGAAAACTCGAGATCGAAAAAATCATGATTCCCACAGGTACTTTCCTTATATCTGTATACAGATAGGAAAGTAAAAATGAAGGTAGTTTGCAGGAAACATGGTCCAATTTTGTTTCCTTATTGATATACAGGGTGATAATGTGTGTTTTTGTTTCTTTTTTATCAATACCTATCTTAAAGAGATTTTAAATAATTTTAATTAAATTTTTACAATTTATTGACAACTTTCGGGCGTAATTGATGAATTTTCCATAAAATTACCTTTTGAATTATGTGTCATAATTTGTACTTTCTGTAGACACTATTATTTTACTTTTATGTGAGAACACTTTATTAGAGATCACTTTAACACATCGGGATTTCAATACGACTGAATAATAAAGGGCGACTTCGTATATGATTCACTTACGTATTGGATAATTCCTAATTTATAAAGTATTTGTCACGATTTATAACATACAGTATGTACCTATATATTAATACAAAAGATCTGATGTTAGGGATTTTACAAAATTTTATGAAAATAATAAAAATCAAATTGTTTATTGCTAACTAAAGCACAGAAAATACTGTTGATTTTAATTATTGTAAATAAGTCTTTGTTTTAATTGCTAACTAAAATACAGAAAATACCGTTGGTATTAATTATAAATGAGTCTTTATGTTAAACATTATTTACTATTATCTAAATAAAATGAAAATTAGGTATGACCAAATTTGAAAAGGTTTGTTAAATGGTGAAATTTGGTAAGAACAGATTTGTGGTAATTTTGTATTCGACAACTAAAATTTCATCATCCTGGTGAATAGTTTCTTCAGCAATAGGTTCTAGTATTTTCTTGCTTTTTTTTATTCAGTTCGGTTCAATGGTGGTTTTCGTCTTTTCCTAATACTGGACAAGTATGAAGGGAGATTCGGGAATATACATGGTATTACTTCGTTCTTTAATCGCGGCCTTTCCCTTTTTATTTTGTTAACAGTACCATTATTTAAAATAGTCTCATCAAATTTTAAAATATCATCTTCTAAAAAGTGTAGCTCGCAAACAGAATCATAACTAGACAGTACTTTATCAGCCCTAGGAATCACATGCTGCCATTGTTCTAAACGTTTAGGATCCTACAAAAAATATTTGCAATGACTAAATTGGAGTTCAATAAAGAAAAATAACAGTAGTAACTCTTCATCTAACATAAAAAAAGCAAATTTTCTTTTCTAGTAAGTTAAATGTGTAATTATTGTTGTTTGTAAGTCAAGATTTATGACTCTATTATTTTTTATTATAGAATTTTGTAATTAAATAAACTACACTCTGTAAGATACGGGTTGAGACTATTTTACAATAAATATATATTATTTAGAAATAAATACATTATTTTACTTACACCAGGAGCTTTAAAAAGACTTGGATTTTTATTTCCTTGTGTTTTCTTGAATTATATATCGGATTTATATCCCGTTTTTCAACCCGGAACGAAGCAAATCGTTTGTCGTTTTTTGTTACTCATTATTACTTGTGGCCAGGTTCTTTATTTCAGCTTATTTTTATTCTTTTCACTAAATTTTACAAAAATCACTTTGATTCCCATTGACTTGCATAGAAAATAGACGTCGTTATTTTGCCACCCGCCAACTACAGTAGTTTTTTGGAACTCCATAAAAATAGGGACGGAAATTTCTAGTCTTCATAGTTACATCATACGTCACTACTGCGCGTGATTTTCCTCTTCAACGTTAATCTACGCCACTTCTTCCTCACAGCGCCGTTTGTTGCATGTAAATTAGACGGGATGTGCAAATTTTTTAAAACATCGATGTTGACATCAAATGATACATCGAATACAGTATCGATGTTGTAAAAAAATCGCAAAAGAGAATATTGATTTTTCTAAATATCGATGTTTATTTTTCCATACATCGATGCGTCTGTAAACATCGATGTTTTTCAAAAACGTTCATTAAAGAGCAAAAAAAAAAGAATAACACTTAACAAAAAGGTATTGAAACCATCAATTGAAACTTGACGCCTTAACCAAACAACATTGAAAAGAAAATAATCGATGTTAATTGAAAAATCGATGTTAACAAATAACATTGGATAAAAAAACTCGATGTTGACTAATAATATCGGATAAAAAAACATCAATGTTAACATCGATATTCGAAACCAAAAAATCGATGTTTTTTAAACATCGATACATCGTGCGCATCTCTAACCAAAGCCGAAATATCGACGTAGGTCCTTTTGGCTTTGCTACTGCGCATGATTTTTCTCTTTAACTTTAATCTACACCACTTCTCCCTTACAACGCCGTTTGTTGCATGTAAATCGGACCAATAGCAACGAAGATCTGGACTTAGGCCCTTTTGGCTTTGCTACTGCGCGTATTTTTTCTCTTCAACATTAATCTACGTCACCCACCTACGTCACGTAAGATTATATACACATCTATCTCTCTCGATCGCATTGCGGCCTGGGAACTCTCTCTCTAACACATTGAATTCCCTATATATATATATATATATATATAATATATATATATATATATATATATATATCGCGATACAAACTTTGCTTATCTACTATATATTATCCATAATCTAGTCTAGAAAACCAATTGTAAAGTTTTGTCGTTTAATTAACCCAAGCGTGTATATACGATACGATACATTATTCATTTTTATTTGCCCATTATAATAGACAATATAGAAAAAAACGTTAACTTTGACAACATACTTTTATTAACAAAATACTATTAACTTTTAACAATCCGGCAACAATAAATAAAAATTTAACTAAGCACACATATCCAACATTTAATAATATTATGTTCTGTAATAAGTACATAGGTGATAAAAATATCTTTCTTTTTAATGCCACTTACTATATAGTACAGAAATGTGTAAACATTTTTAATTACCTGTTCTTACAGCAAACATTATAACAATAAAAACGGAATTGAAAATATTATCCCTAACCTCCAAATAAAACTTATAAATTATGATTTTGTTATATAGGAAGAATATATTAACTACTTTAAAAGCAATAATATAAAAATATAATAAAATAGAATAGTTTACCGAAGATGTTGATTGTTTTTGAGCAATAATGGAAATTTATTCTTTCCTAGCAAACTAGTTTTGTCTATTTCAGTTCTAGACTTGATGTTTTTTATAGGTATATGCAGCAACACTCATATCTCATAAATAGTTTATCCCCAATAACGTAAACAAAAATTATTCATGATAATGTATGTCCATAAAAAAGGAGAATGATAGTTTACAAATGGTATTTGTCCATTCATTTATAAAAAAAATAAAAAGAATAATTGACAGTTATCACATGCTGAACTCAGAATTATCTCATTGGCTGACCGTAAGGTCTTAAGTTAAAAATTGGCGAACTTTCTACGGTACGTTAAGTTCTTAAGTTACGTTACGACATTCATAAATAAGTATACGTAAATTCAATATTTCAACTTCTTACGTTAAGTTCTTAAGTTACGTTACGGCGATTATAAATTAAGCTTTATAGTTTTATGCAACTGTAAGTAAAAATGTCATGAAACTACATTGTTTGGAAACAGTAATTTTCGATCATGTTTATAATACAGAGTGTTCCAAAATAAGATGTAGATATTTTAGGAGGTATTTGCTAAGGCTATTTTATAAAGAAAATTTAATGATCTAAAATTGTTTGAATTTTTTGACAATATTACTTTTAATAATACATTTAGTATTTCAATTTCTGTTAAATTATAAATTACACATTTCTGCTGTAGAACCATGTGAAATAAAATAAAAAATTTCATAAATAAACAAGAAAAATAGAGCTATACTCAAGAAAGATATTTACATTATAATACCATGCTTTTTTTAGTTTTTATTTTTATCACAATCGCATTGTTTTTCTCAAAATTTTCGTTATACTCCAGTTTTTTCGAAATTTCTTTCCCAAACCAATTTAAACGAATCACTAATTAATTAATTAATGAGAACTTACAGAACCTAAATCAAATATATAACGAGTTTTATTTTTGCCCCCCCCCTCCCCTTTCCGTTTTATAAAAAATAAAAAGTGAACCGGTTACAAACCTAAAAATAAAGATTTTGCATTAAAAGGATTTCATTAGATATAAATAATAATTATTATATTAATACCTATTCTATATAGAGTACTTTCGTTCTGTATTTTGTCAAAATATTTCTTAGAAAATCTTTAACATTATCGTATGTTGCATAACTAATACCAACAGATATGGGTCCTTTGATCCAATTCATGGAGAGTCCCTTGTATAAACCTCGTTTGAGTCCTTCACGTCTAAAAAACAAAAAATAGAGAATGCATAATATATATGTAATATGTACAGATTAGGAATTATAGTGTATTAAATAGATTGAGCTTAAAACCAGTTGGTCGGTTCAAAATATATAACAAAAAAAAAAAACAATTTAAGAAAACCGAGGTGCTCTTTTAACTTAGCCATTTAATTTTTTAAAAATTGCAATTTTTTTCGGAAAGTTTTGTATTTCCAAAACCTAAAAGTAGCCTATAAATGTGGAAGAGTTGTTTTAGAAAAACGATTCGTTTTGGGAGCTCCGCGTACCGAAGTACCTCGCGATTCAATTATAGCTCCGTGCTAAATTTTTAGGAAACAGTTCTTTTCTAATTTTTATGTCAATTGATAACCGAGGCATTTTGGATTACCTTCCACCTAGAGAGTAATCGTCAACCCTTGGAAAAATGGTAAGTCAGTCTTAGATGGATTTATAAACTACGTTCAGCTCACGCTACGCTCGCGTTGGTGAGTTCGTGCTGTACCCAATTTACAAAGTCGATGGCCCTTTGTTCGTCGCTGCGAATTTTGACATTTGATATAAGACAACCACAAATTCCGCAAAGTAAATTATAATTCGTTATTTTGTTTTAATCATATATGTAGATTGGTTGGTTATAAAATAATTATAAATCCGTTATAATTTCGTATCCAAAACAAACCTACCATGTCATTTTAGGATCGCGTTGACGCATGCGTGGTCAAGTAATCAGATAAGAGTTTTTCATTGACTAGACGTTCGTAGCCGAACGGCGAACATAAAAGTTGGTCATCTCTCAGCGTCAACTGAACTCGAACTGGGGTGCTATTTTCAAAGTATGGGAGCATGCATTTCTCTCAAGATTCTCATCAGAAATGTCATACGTCAATGTGGAAACGCTGTTTTTAAAGGCTTCCTCTCTAAATAAATCGAGAGAAACAGCCAGTGAGGGCCCTAAATATACTGTTTTACGTTGACGTGATATTTCTCTTGAAAGAAATGAATTCTCTCGAGTTTGAAAATAGCCCCCCTGAGCGTGAACCGAACCAGCGCTGTCAGGTCATATTTTTTCAGTATACTGCCTGTCTAAAATTCAGTAGAAATCAGTAGGCAAATGAGTTGCCTAATTAATTTAATCTCAAAAAACGGATAAAAAATAATAATAATGAAAACGGTTTTTTTTTTTCAGTAGAAGTTACATTGATATCAGTAGACCAAAAGCCAAATCAGTAAATCTACTGAAAAATCTGTAGACCTCGCAACACTGAACTGAACGCCAAATGAACGAAGTTTATATATCCATCTGTAAGGTCTAATTAATATAAAATTATTGGATTTTTAGCGATTCATATGTTAAGTATTTTCTCTCTGATGAATTATTACACTACTCACTCGGAGTTTTTTCTGTGAAAAATTATGTAATTTTAGTTTATTTGGAAATAGCGCTTAATTTCTAATTAACCGCTCCAAGAGTCGACTGTGTTTATTATAAATATTACACACTTTATTTAATGACGAACTGTTCTATCTAAATTAGACACATTGTATAATAGATTGCGACGTGCTCTTCGAATATGTCGATAATAACTTGTTGCAAGAAAACGAACGCACTATATAATAGATGAGCACGTCGTTAACAACAATACGTGAATACACTTTGTTCTTAACGACTTCCTCAAGAAGCACGTCGCAATCTATTATACAATGTGTATTTTACAATGTGAGGCACACAGCATAATAGATTGCGACGTGCTCGGAGAGCACGTCGTTAACAACAATATCTGAACACACTTTGTTGTTAACGACGGCTCGAAGAGTACGTCGCAATCTATTATATAATGTGGGACACACTGTATACTAGGTTGCGACGTGCTCGAAGAACACTAAATAACAGTATCTGAATACAATTTGTTGTAAACGATGACATGCAAGAGCACGTCGCAATCTATTATGCAAAGTCGAACACACTATATAATATATAAGCATGTCGTTATATAATAACACTATCTGAAAAGAATTTTTTGTAAAAAATGTGGAACACACTGTATAATAAATTGCAACATGCTCTTAGAGCATACTCTATTTGAATTGGAATAAAATATTAGGGTGGGACATTACACTAATATTCTTTTTTTTTAATGTAAATCAGCGGATTAAAAGTATATTGCGATTACAATGCGAAGCTCCCAAAACGCGAAAAACGAGGCGTTTTGCTACCTTCAAAAAATTTTTATATTTCAGTACCATAAAAACTGCCTAAAAATATGGTTCATTTTAATAAAAAACGAGGCACATCAAATTTTAGAATAGGATATAAAAATATAAACTGAAAATTCTCTAGATGCTCTGCTGCCATCTTCAGCAAAAATTTGTAGAAAAATTTTACACTAACAATCAGTACTATTTTAAATTTAAATTTGTTTTAACATACTTGTAAACATATTTAAGAGTACCAACAATGGTGGAATATTGTCCATTGGTATCAGTCTGCATTCTCCTTCTTACTATATCTAACGGGTACGAACTACTTTGACCTAGCATACCAGCTATCGCTCCGAAACCTAAGGAAGCTAAGGGATGAGGAGTTTGTTTAGGATCCACATGTTCTGAAACAACAAACTACTATTGGATAATGGTGTCATGAATCAAGATTGTAAAAAATATAAGTGAACAATTTTTTTTATACTGACAGTTCTTAGATCAAGCAAATATTTTACAAAAATGCAACAATTGTATGTCACTCCGTTAAAAGCTTTTTAGTTTAAATGATCTCTCAGAGAAAATTTGTTTATATCCAATATATTAAATTGAAGAAATATTATGATAATCTACTAACCTCTATATAACCTTTTCAAGGTGTCATATATAAAAAACGATACTCCAGCATATGGTATAACTCCTAAAATAGTAGGTACATAACCTCTATATAAAACAGTAATTCCTTCTAAATGGTATATTTTCATAAACACCTAAAAATAAAAATATTGAATTTTTTCATCACTCAATTAAAATTATTGACAGTGTTTAGCCCAAGAGCTCAGAGTATAAAATGAACTGCCTCTTAATAAGAATACCAAATAAAAATTATACAATTTTCAAAATTTTGAATCGTAATTCATTTACCCCAATAGTACCAAGAAAAAACTTACATCAAAGAAAGAGTTAATTATACATTAAAAGCAAAATTTTTATAAGACACAAAGTAAGAAAAAAGTATCTTTGTTAAATGGATAGCTCATTATTTCCACGATTGGTTATCAATTTTTTTTAATCTCATTGTTTAATGCAGATGTTGCAAATAAGTTAACAGATAATAATTGTGTTTGACGCCATAAAAAAATTAAATGTATTTTTTTTATTTAGAAATCACAGAATAAAGAAATATAATTTATTCCTAAAAGAATTCAACAGTTATATATCTACTACTTCAAACTTAAAAGTTATAAAGGCATGTAGTAATATTGGACAATTTAAAAGTCATCTTAAAAAATTCCTAGTAACAAATACTTTTTATACACTCGATGAATGTTTTGCATTATGAAGACAGTAGGTATTTTTAATTTTTTCTTATAGAAATGTAAATAATAAATTTAAAAAATCACTTTTCATCTGATATTTTAGACAAAAATCTGCTCATAAATTGGAAAAGCGGTAAATGAAATTAAAGTTAATAAAAAATCTCTTTTATGGAGAAAATTTAAGAGAACGCGGAATGTAAAGATAATGTGAATAAGTTTGAAAGGCCTATTTCAAAGCAGAAGCTACTAAATTTTGCTTAAGAAAACAAAGTGAAAGTTCAAAAGAAAATGAAAACAACTTAAAACTAAAAATAATATTCTACTTTATATTGCTGTAAATAATAAATAAGTTTTGGGGAAACTGTGACAAAAGTACTATTAGCAGCCGTAACAGGTAATGATTATACTGCCTCGTTCGCAAGCATTTGCAGACGACATAAGCATCGTAGTAAACGGTAAATTTGGGTCTGTTGTATCCGAAAGGATGCAGCGGGCACTAAATATCGTCGAAAGATGGTGCCTAAAAGAGGGATTGTCCACACACCCGACAAAAACCTCTGTTGTTGCATTTACAAGAAAAAGGAACATTCAATGAAGGAACTTTATATGTGGAGACAACATCTAAAAATGGCAAAAGAGGTTAAATATCTTGGAATCACTCTTGATGAAAGGCTGTAAGAATACTATAAGCCTGTAGACGGATGATAGGGAACACATGGGGCTTAAACCAAGTATGATGTACTGGCTTTAAGCTATGGTTGTAGTACCTGTTATAACTTATTCATATGGTGGTACAAGAATAAAAGCATAACAGCTAACAAAAAATTAAAGGTACAAAGACTAGCTTGTCTAATAATCACAGGGGCATTTAGAACTACACCCACTGCAGCAATGGAGCTACTGCTAGATCTTCCTCCACTACACCTTATGGTGGAGAAGAAGGCTATGGCGGCGGCATACAGTCTGTTTGGATGGGAACTTTTGAGAAAAGGACACTACACAATGATATTAGAGATATTAAAACAAAATCCGCTACTAAGAATGCCATCGGATAGAACGCCCATTATTCACGACTTCAGGAAACCTTTCGATATTCAAATTCCAGAAAGGGCAAAGGCCAGAAAAATAGGGAAAAAACAAAACGTATCAATCTGACATACAGACGGTTCGAAAATGAAAAACCGCACAGGAGCTGGAATCTATGTGAACTCAGGAAGGACAATTAGTCTGAACCTGGGATTACTGACAACAGTTCTCCAGGCTGCAGTAACAGCAATAAATGCCTGCGCCAAATTCATGTTAAATGAGAAAGATGAGAGGGCCTTTATCATGACAGACAGTCAGACAGCCCTTAAAGCACAGAAAAGGGTAGAATTACAATCTAAATCAATACTTGATTGCCAACAGTTCCTCTCAGGCCCTGGCAAAACATAACTAGCTCACCCTTGAATGGGTGCCAGGATATGAGAGTGTTTGGAAACGAGAAAGCAGACCTCCTAGCAATGAAATTTTTAGCAAACATCAAGATCTATAAGAAGAAGAAGGCCCTTTGATTTTGAAAAAAACTCTTATTGAACCAGAACCCACATGTGGTATTTCATACCAACATGTTAAATGGGTGTTAAAGGAACAAATAAATAGAGAACACCATAGGCTCTGGTTGGAACTTCCTGGACTTAGACGGTCCGACAGATTCATAGAAGGGCCATCCACGAGCAGACAAAATCAATTGCTAAACCTTAGCAGAAGCGAACTCAAGGCCGTAATAAGTTTCCTTATGGGACACTAGGGCCTTAGAAGACACCTAAATCTCTTAGAGATATCTGATGACTACCTATGTAGAATATTTGAAGAGAAGGATGAAATTCCTATTCACATACTATGCCACTGTCCAGAACCTGAAGAAATCGCGAAACGCCCATCAGACATATTCTTGAATTCATCAAGAAAATCAATCTGATGGGATAGAAACTGTGAGGGGTACATTAAGCCTAGACCTTAAGTAGAAGTGGGCTTTGAACCACACCCTAATTCGGATAGATACATAGAAGGATAAAGAGAAAAACTGCATAATTATTAAAAAAAAATCCGTATGACAAATAGACCTTGTTGAAAAGGTCATTTGTAAGATAACATACATAAAGTAAATGAAGCTCTGCTAGACATTTTTATGGGAACTTATGTATATTACAATAGTAGCTTCATACCTACCTCCTTGCTGCAATATTTTGATTGGTAAAATTAAATCATTAAATCAAATTTGACCAATATTGAATTTTGCAACACATATTGAGTCGTTATTTTTTACTAAGAAGAAAATAACGACTGGATTCTAGTTGACAATAAATTACAAATTGAATGATTTGAAGGTCCTCAAACCCCTAACAGTAGGGTGACCATCATACAGCTGTATAGCATTTTCAAAGCCCGTCCAGTATTTGATCTTGTAGTACAGCAAAACACTGTTATTGTCCAGCAACACGCCATTGTTGTTCAGCAATGTAATACATAATGTACTAAAACGTAACCAATAAAAACCTGTAATTATCTTTGGGGAGATTAAAAAGTCTTCACCTTTGTGTTGCATTTAATTATTAAAAATACCTAACATGCACTGACATGCAGAACCATGGAAATATATTTTTATGTTGATCTTTTCTATAATTACGAAGATAAAAAAATTGTCTTCTGATTTTGCGATAATTTTTTAATGGTAGACAAACACAATTAAAAAAATATTAATAATTTAGAGTATCGTCCGATTTTAACCGACTACTAACCGCTAGTAACCAGGATTTTTTGACAGCTGTTCCTGAAAAAAAAAAAACCAATTTCTTAGGGGGAGGGGATCAAGCTAAATCTTTCCAAATCTCACTTGGAGGAGATTTGTAAATCTGACGTAATTTTTTTTTTTCTAGTAGAAAACGGTGTAAAATTGCGTAAAAGTAAAGTTAACTTAGAGTAAAGAATGTTTCTAAAATAAAATATGGCAAAATCTTATAATTATGTTTATCGTATGCGTCCCAACCTCGCAGAGCAAAGGTTTCGTTTAAGTATTTATTATTTATTTTTATCACTGTGATTTTAAATTAGGGCAATATTCTCAAATACTAGCCATTGCTATTCTTAAATAAAAGTCATAGAACATATTGTGTTTTTGTTTTTTTAAAAACACAAATTTTGAAATATATCACGTGAGATTAGGGGAGGGGGGAGGGAGTTGAGGAAAATCTTACGAAATCTCACCAGAGGGGGAGGGGGGTCAAAAAATCCTCAAAAATACCTCACGTAATTAATGGACGCCCCCTTTGTGACAGAATGACATTCGACTTAATAGTAACCCTGAAAATATAGCGGTTAGTGAATTGACGTTTGAGTCACCATTTTCAGGTAACCGCGTCCGTAATTTAATCGATTTTTCAGGAATGTCAAGCAGAGTGGGTAGTTTTGGCCCGAGTAACCGATATTTCGGTTAATAACGGACCATACCCTTAATTCGATTTATATAAAAAACCTGGTAATAGTGAGTTTTTTTTACCATACGAATGAGTAAACAATAAACTAATTATGTATGCAAAAAATCTATCTGGTAATTGATGACGATATTGAAGGCGGTTTTTGAACAATTTTAACACTGTTTCAAAAACGGGAACGCATGGTGGGACAACGTCTATATTTTTGCATTTAAAAGGGATTTTCTCTTTCTTTGATGATAATTTATTATTGGTAGAAAATAGGTAAATTGCTTGTAATGTTAAACTTTATAATTTTTGTTTTACGAAATTTTCCAAAAATGGTCCGTTTTGGAGAAATTTGACAAAAAGTGCAAAATTCGAATTTTCAAGAAAATTGTTTGAATAAAAGTTGGTTGCGAAATCATTCTCTAATTTTTGTTCTATACATGATTTCTCTAAAATGGACCGTAATGGAAAAATTTAAGGAAAAGTGTAAAATTTTAATTGCAAAAGATAAGAAGTGAGAGGCAGGCAAAAGGATACGAACAAAAGGGAAATTGGGAGAAATGACGTTGGAGAGAATAACAGTTATATCGACACTGGTTAACATAACAGAATAAAAGTATGACATTAATAAATTTAAAAAAAAACAACATGAATAATAAAATAAACAAATATACAAAAATTGAAAAAGAATAATTATTTAATAGACTACAAACCTGCCTCAATGTTGAATATTCTTGTCGTGATGTTACAGCCATTCGTGCCCTGGCTAAATCAAGTGGGTAAGTAAGTGATTGCGATGTTACCCCAGCTAGAGATCCGGCTAGAAATAATTTTCCAGGCGTAGTCCTAAAAATTAAACCTACCTTTAAACAAACGTTAGTTATCCAAATATTTTTTTTTTTATTTTAAAAGGTCGACAGGTAATATATAAAATTTGATCAAATACATGGACCTATTTTGATCATCCAAATATCAACAATAATATAACTAGCCTAAGGTTAAATTACTAAATTCAAAATATAAACAAATTAATTATTGATAGTAGATTGGGAAATTTTGATTAGAAAAATATTGGCCTGTGTATCATTTTTAACACGAGGAAAAGATAACTATACCTACCAATGTCAACATTAGTCAAGGAATATGATTAAATTTAATGTTAATTAGATAAATCTGAAATAATTTCTCATGATTTTAATGTGTAGATTAGAGGAAAATTATTTAGGGGTCATTTTTGGGAAGTTAGAAAAAATCTCATGCCATCCTGTATGGAATAAAAATGAAAGCTCGTTAAGAATGAGGTGTAGATTGAAAAAAAATTATTTATCTAAGGGGTAGATTTTTTTTGGGGAACAGGGGAGTTATATTGACTTAAAAAAAGTTTTAATGTCATCGTGTGGGGTAACAAATGAAAGCTAGTTGAAGGACGATTTCAAAAATATATAATACATTCATTTTCGAAAAAATGCTTAAAAATAGTGGTCCCCCCACCTATCTGCAAAAGAAACATTCAGAAAAAAATTTGAAAAATCAATAACGTTGAGTAATTATATTTTGCACTTGGCTAAATTAATTCAAGAAACTAAATAGTTGTGTCTATGTTAGGTATGTAGCTATATCATGAAGACTTAATCAAATATTTACCAATATCAGTACATGGGAGGTAAATTGAACTATGTCGTACTATTTATAAAGACTTGTTAGAGGTATACGACACTATGTCATAGAAAAATTGTTATCAGAACATAGAAATATTTTACCAAAACTAACAAGTCATATATATAAAAAAAAAAGTTTTAATAGTTAGATTATTAGTAAACAATGCATATTGTGACAATAATTGAGGCTAACTGCATTTCTTGTCGAAATATAATTAATAGAAGGTGTAAATCCACAAGACGCTTTTTAAAAAAAATCGGCGTCAAAATCTGCTTATTGGTTTCCATGGCAAACGCGAAAATCCATGAAAAATCGTGCAAAAATCCGCCGTGTCCCTTTTTTGAGAATTGGGTGCACGGTGGAAGGGAGTATGCGTTAACGGTAGACGCTCAAGACATGCTAGATGACTGATAAGAAGGAATTTTTTGTCTACTGTCAACTGTCACCTTTTTATGACGTTTTGAAAATTTCTTTATCTTTTTTCGACGGTTTATTAAAGACAAATAATTTTATTATTTTTTCTGAACACCCTTTGCCTCTCTCTAACTCACCACGCACACGGATTTTTCGTCGGGCGCCATTTTTTTTTTCGGACAAATTTCCTATGAAAGTTCCGGACGAAACATCCCGTCAGCGATCCCGTAGGGGTCGCTGCACTGCGCCTAATCAATTTTTATATTATTTTTTAGATTGTTTTATTAAATATTTACTATATCTTTATAGCCCAATCGGATTAGTATTTTAGATTCTGAAAAATTCGAAGCAGCAATTTTCCTTCGGAATTCGTTGGAGGGGGTCTCTGGTAGTCTAAATTCAAAAAGTTGGGATTCTAAAGTTGTCGTTACCTCCGCCATCTTGATTTAAAGGGTTATTTTTTGTATCTTGAATAACTCATTTATTTTCAATTTTACACGGAAAATAGTTTTTACAAAAGTTATTTAAAATTAAATTTCCTACAATTCTGCTTTTTTTTTGTACGATCGATTTTTTTCGATTTATACCCGAAAAGAGGGGGTGAATTTTTGGTTATAGAATAACTCGTTTATTTTCAATTTTACGAGAAAAATTGTTATAAACAAAGTTGTTTAAAATTAAAGTCGTTATATTATAAATAGTAAAAATATTGGTATGACAAAATGATATGATCATCAAATTTACTTCTTCCACGAATTCTATCCAAATATTTACCTGCTTCGACTCCAACGAAAAATGATATCAACTTGAAAATTTTACAAGCTCTCTAAGAGGACAACGTCTATTGATTTAGAAAAAAATCTGATTAAAAATAGGGGGTTAAGATGGATTGAATTAAAAAAAAATTCTAAATTAAAAACGAAAAACACAAAGCGATATCAACATGAAATTTTTAGCAAACATCAAGATCTATAAGAAGAAGAAGAAGGCCCTTTGATTTTGAAAAAAATCGTATTAAAAATGCGGGTTTAAGGGGGGTTGAAATTAAAAAAAAAAATAAACATAAATCAAAAATGAAAAGCGAAATCAACAGGAGATGAGGCCTACTGATTATGAAAAAAATTTGAATAAAAGTGTGGGGGGGGGGTTAAGAGAGGTTGAAATATTTAAAAAAAATTAATTCAAAAACGAACAATAATATCAACTTGAAATTCAAGCTCAATATGGGGATGAAGCCTATTGATTCTGAAAAAAAATCTGATTGAAAATGGGAGTTAAGGGAGGGTTTGTTAAACTGTGAAGAGTACAATTTAGAATACCATGCATTATATATCTTTATTCTAGTTTGTATCTGGGTAATGTTATGTATTGTGATGGGATTGTTCTTATAAAATAAACATTTTAGTTTACTTGGTTTATTTGCCAATAAAAGGTATTTAAAAAATATATTATGTGTGACAAATTGTGAAAATGATTAAATTTAATATAAGAATCGAAAAACGGTAGGTAAAGTTTCATATAATATGTTTTAAACAAAAATCAATGTCATATTTAAAAATAATATCAAAATATGAAGAAAAGTCAGCTGACTATAACTAATAATGTTTATAAATGGTTTTTAACGTATTAAAAACAAAACAAATATTACAATAACTAAAATATTCATTAATAGTTGTAGTTCTTGCAAACAGTATGATATTTATAATAACTACACTTAATATAAACCTAAATAAAAAAAACGGTGTTAAAATTATTGGAAAAAAGTGAACACCCTTTTTAAATTAGCACAAGTCACTACTGCTCTGTAAAGTGAATTTATATTATAACCCTTAGCTAATAATAATGTTATATCGAAAGGAAATTATTTATCTTGGAGCCAGTTTTGGTGAGGGGATAAATTGGAAGTCCTGATTGGAACAATATCAATAAATACTGTAAATAATTTATTAAATTAAATACTAACTTACCCCCCTGCCTGATCTACTTTGAGTATTCTTTTCCATTGTTCGTGAGCTGTAAATTGTATTGCTGCATGGGGCACGATGCGCGCCATAGTAGCACTGTTTCCCCTCCATAATGCCAAAATTCCCTCCGATTTTAAAGTTTTTAATATAAATTTAAGGGCCTTTCTCGTTGAATATGGTTTATGACTAAAATACAATGAGAAAAACAAATATGTAGGCATAAATATACCTAGTATAGTGGTAATTTAATTCTATAACCAATAGTTAAAATTTAACGGACGTTAAAAATATAACGTATGTTAAATATGAAAAGCAATTCTGTAAATTCATGAACATTTGTGTCACAAAAATCTATTCTATAAGCAGAAATATGTTAAAAATTTAACATAAGTGAGTTAATTTTATGCGTTAAATCGAGGATATTAACATAATGTATAAGAAATTATGACTTTTTATTGTTTAATTCAACAATTTTGAAAGTACTCAAGTAATTTTAACAGTAGAAATTACACAAATTGTATTTAGAAATTATATTTTATTTATATAGTGCATATAAACTGTTTGTAGTTAGTAATTGATTTATCGTAGAAGGGCACTATTTATTATAAGGTTACTGGGGTTAGTTTTGTTTTTATTGAAAATTGATGGCCTACCAAATAGTTTACAAAGTATATTCGGCCGCTACTTTTTTCAATATTCTTGTGCAAACACAGACATATAAATAAATATGACAAAAGGAATGACATTTATTTCACAGACCATAAAACTTAACCATACTTTTATTGCAAATTTGAACTACTTTTAACGTATGTTAATTTATTTGAAATGTTAAGCTGGATTTATAAACTACGTTCAGTTGGCGCTCAGTTCGAGTTGGCAAGACATAACCACAAATTCCACAAAATAAAATTATATTTTGTTGTTATTTTTGTTTTAATTATATTTGTAGATGGTGTTGGTTATAAAATAATTATAAATCCGTTATAATTTCTTATCCAAAACATATCGTGTCATTCAGCTATGTTTATGTTGAACTCGAACTGAGCGTGAACTGAACGTATTTTATAAATCCACCCTTAACGTATGCGTTAATTTTATTTTTATAGAATTACAATTTATGTTAAAATCGTAAAATTTAACAACCATTAAAAATAGACGTATTGAATTACCGAATTACCACTTTTATATGCAAAAAAATATTATTAAATTAATTCTTACCTAACTTGGAAATTTATCTTCGTTCTATCTAAAGGGGCTATAGTTGACTTAGCTAAAGCACCCGCTACAGCACCTGCTGCAAGACTAGTAATGACTAATTGTGTGTTACTTAACGTTTTGACTTTTTTATGACTTACACTAATGTTTTCGGCAGTTTTTGCCATATTGGAAGACCATCAAGGCATTTTTGTTTCGTTAATCTGGAAATAAAATTTAATATAAACACAGTGTTTAGTATTTATGCAAAATAAATTTCAAGATTGTTGGTATTAATCAAAGTTCAAAGTTATAATAACAATAAAAAAAAAGAGTAAATATTAAATTATTTACTGCAGAAATACAATAATTTTATAAATATACTGTTCAGTGTTCACGTTACCTACAAATTACATAACTAAAATTGTTTTTTTTAACTATTATAACTAAAAAAAATATATTTATTCAACAGTCAAATAAATCCGATAGGTACTATTAAGCATAGATAAGTGGTATAATAGTGTTTACGAATCACATGACGCAGTTGTAATTTTATAACTGTACTTTCCATTTCCACCTGTTTGGTTACCTGCCTACCTGTTTCTCATACCCATACCTATTTAGTATTTAGTTGTTATCTGCATTGACGTGTCAGCATAAATATTTCTTTGTGATACATACCTATCAGAATATATTTTGTTTACTTGTTATTATTAAAATGGTAAGTAGTTAATTTTTTAGATTTGAACATAGGTAATGATTCTTTTTTTATTTCAGGCACGTTATTTCAAGGAAAAAGATATAGATGGTAAGTAGTTCAGCCTTGTTTTAAAACAATCTGTCAAATCTCAAATCAAAATACTTCAATGAGATTCTATTATCGAACCGACTTTATTTTACTTATAAGTAAAAGTTGTAATTCCTATAGGTATAAAAATTATTAGAAACAATAAAAAAATAATATACCTATGTAGGTAATTTCAAATTGAATGATAAATTTAGTTATTTCTTTTTAACAAACTTTTGGTACCTAGTAGATAGGTTACCCAATAACACATATTTTTTTTATTTTTAATGAAAGAAAAAATTTTTAAATATCTAAATATGGGTAGGCAAATGTTTACATCTGCGTTCTTGTTCAGTTTCAGCCATTTTTCCGAAATTTTAATTGAATCGATTTATTTCCATAAAAACTAAATCAAATTTTGGAAAACTTGCTCCTTAATTTTAATCTTTATCTAGGTACTACATGCATATGTTTTTCTACTTTAAAAGTATGATACTATCAAAAGTTTGCATTGGTAGGTATATTTTAAGTAGGTAGTTAGATATAGACAATTTCCAAAAAGAATAAAAGGAAGGCGATCTACAGGGTGTTTTAAAAAGGTACGTCATAAATTCTTCCTCAGATAGATTACCAAAAAATAAGTGGATTTGGCTATATTTACCTATATCAAAAACTGTCTCCCAACAAAGTTAACATTCAGAAAAACGTTTTTTTTTTTTGTAAAAAGTTTGCTGTTGCGATTATTTCTTTGAAATTTTCGCCAGTGCTGTAGATTTGAAGGCACAATATTCTAAGGAAAAAAAAAATTAAGCGACCCCTTTAAAAAATGTTGGGGGGTTGGGTACCTTTTGTGTCATAAAGAAACTTGCTTTATCGATTTTAAAATCAAAAAGAAATATGAATTTTTAATTTTTTTTTTATAGCGAAATAAACTTTATACCTTTCTTAGTTAACGAGCTATTTACAATTTTTTAACTGAATTTCTAGAGCAATTCGTCCGTCCTGGACTTAACATATCAACAAAACTAAGAGTAGGTCAGGAGTTATTGTACAAAAAACGCATATAAAAAATCAGTGGTGTGCCTAGGGCTGTGCTTGAGCCACCCCTGCAAAAACTACCTCTTTTATTTATATTTTTGTAAAAAAGGTATTTATATTGGTATAAATAAAAATTTCCTTGGTTTATTTGGTCATTAATTTTATTTTCTATCGTATTTATATTGGATTGGCGCCATAAAAATGGTGTGCCACCCGTCCTCATGGTTAACCGTGCCACTGATAAAAATACACGTTAGTTTGGAAATGTATTTATTAAATTTAATAGTAATTAAAAAAATTATTTTTTTAATTAAACAATTAACAAAAAATTAAAAATAAACACTTGACAATAATTATAATACTCTCCCTAATTCACCCCCTTACGAGTGAATTTTAACCCCAAAAGTTGAGCATGTTCGGGGAAAGGGATGGCTATTATTATTTGCCGTGACGCTCCGGGGCGACTTAAAGATGATTGATGGTGCCATTTGACTTACAGGTGAGGAAAACCCCACCCACCATACATATTTTATAAACTATTTAATTTAGTAAATGTTCAACATGTCCTCCTCCCTCTTCAGGCGCGAATACAAGGGGGGATAATAGGGTAATTACCCCCCGAGCTGCTCGAAGAAATTCAGGAATTTATTAAATTGTAATCTAAAAACAACGAGATTTTACGAGAAAGCAAAAAACAAGATGACTGTAACGAATGAAGAATAGAGAAGCTCAGGCTGTCGTACACTATAGGTGTAATAGGTTAAGTATATGGAAGAGGAGCGATGAAGGACCACTAGAATTTAATCAGTCTACAGTCAGTCGTACTGTGACTGTGGTCAGAAAAAGTAACTGCAGAGAATTTAATTCAACACATTTTAAATTAAATAAACATCGATGCGATGAAAATGTCTACAAAGAAATCTTTTCTCCTTAATTTGATTGGCAAGACATCACAGGATTTTAAATAAACGAATGATTCTTTGATAAAATTATGTACCGCCTCCCCCCCGAACAATCTTCCCAGATCCGTGCCTGTCCCTGTTGAATACAAAATTATAAATAAAAGTGGTAGTTTTTGCAGGGGCAACTCAAGCACAGCCCTAGGCACACCACTGATTTTTTTTATGCGTTTTTTGTACAATATCTCCTGACCTACTCTTAGTTTTGTTGATAAAAATTGTAAATAGCTCGTTAACTAAGAAAGATACAAAGTTTATTTCGCTATAAAAAAAATTAAAAAATGCATAGTTATTTTTGATTTTAAGATCGATAAAGCAATATTCTTTATGTCAAAAAAAAAATACGGGGGGGTTCAAAGGTACCCAACCCCCAACTTTTTTTAAGGAGGTCGCTTTAATTTTTTTTTCCTTTAAGACTTGCTCTTGGAAAATAATGAATACTTCAGTTTTGATTTTGACATTAACACCATATAGATTGCAATTTGCTGGGGACTTTTTCGCAGATTTAATTTTTAATATAAACACTATCACATACTATAAGAAATAAACAAATTTAAAGCTAAAAAGTAAGAAAAAACTCGAATTGTAATTGATACAAATTAAAATGTAAACAATGAACACGAACGCCAATGTTGTCAAATGATGAACTGATTTTAAAACAAAAATAATAAATGAACTGAAATTTTAAAAAAATCAATATAATAAATCGGTTTTATAAAAAAATCCTTAAATAAATATAAAGTATGATTACATATTACTAGACACAAATTTTGATTCTTAAATAAAAGGTCTTATCCACTTCTCCAAGAGCTAAAATCCGACGACGTAGCAAAATTTTGCTACTTCTGGCAACACTGAACGATATCCGACTTATAGGAACCTTCTACAAATTTCCTCCATAGGGCGTATCACTTAGCTTGAATCGCGAATGCCAAATCCACTTATTTTTTGGTAATCTATCTGAGAAAGAATTTATGACATACCTTTTTGAAACACCCTGTATAAATCTAAATACCTAAGCATAGGTAGGTATAGAATGACTTATCTTTGGTTTAGGTCTAGGAGGACATGGTTTTAATGTTACTGTGAAAAGAAAATTAAATTAAATTTCGAATAACATTTTGGGAATGCATTGCAAATAATTGTAGAATACAATTTTGTTAGGACATTTGTACAAAAAAATTGGAATGAAAGATTAAGGGAAGTTATAAATAAACGAAAAATAGAAGAAGACGTGTTTTAGAATGTGGGACAATATGAAAAATAATTTTCAGTACTTTCATGTCAATTCACAATAAATAGACATCCTATGTGTAAATTGTTCTTAGGATAATTTCAGAGGTGTGACAACTAGCTATCAAGCTAGTCCAATTCATCCACTCATGTAACCAGGTTCCTAAGTTATTTCTATATATTCCTTAAAATATTGTGGTGTGGCATAAACTTGATATAGGTAACAGTCTAGGGTTGCCACCTTTTTGAAAAGTGCAAAAAGGACTATGATGTTGATAAGGGATCCGGTATACAAAAGAAGGTCCTCATCCTTCTAATAAACTTTAAAAAAGGTCGTCGAGCGTGTAACAAAAAAAAAGTTCTCGTCCTTCAAGAAAAAAAAACAGGTTCTCGGATTGTATATTTTTGTACAAGCCAGGTCCCTTTTCAAAGATATCAATAAGTAAAACAGGACATATGCCGTAAAATAATAGTTATTTATGCAACAAGTGCAAAAGTAAGTGTTTATTGCACGCGAGTGGGTCGTAGAAAAATATACTATACAACTCGAGCGGATTGTCCATATGGCACTCAAACTTCGTCTTCGTGCGATATGGCCATCATATCCACGCTTGTTGCACAAACTACTATTTTGCAGTGTTTTCACTACCTAGAATGGATATTAAATATATTCGTTGAGTTGAACGCAATAGCATACTTTTTCGTTTTGTAGTCTGTGCGTAGATAAACTAATATCCATGTGGGTGTAGAAAAAATTTATTATACAAGATACTAATAATATATTACACTCTATCAAATGAAAAATACTATTAGAATAGTTATTTATGCAAGTGTGTAAAATTATGCACGAATGTGAATGTTGTCAAAAAGGGACTTTACACGACGCGCAGAGGAGTGCGGGTAAGCAGGTGAGTGCGTAAAAGTGCTTTTAGCACGTGTTACGATGAACATTTTTTCTACAAGCGCATTTATTTCTAAAATAGAGAATTAACCTGTATAATGACATTAGGTACAACATACAGTTTAAGTATACATATATTAAACCGATGTTATGTGTTGAATTGGTGTAGTGGTTAGGGTTTCGGGCTCATAACGCAAAGATCTTAGGTTCAAACCCGGGCATGGGCGAAAATATATTGCTTTTCAATTTATATTTCTCTGCGTGCGAGAAGATCATCTTCTCGCACGCTTGTAGAAAAAGTTCCTATTGTTGCTATGTACAATTTTTGTCAAACTACTTTTTTTTCATTAGTGCGTAAAGAGTTTTACTTTACGCACTAGTGAAAAAAAAATACAACTTTACGCCCTCCGTGGAATGCGTAAAGTATGTACGTTACGCCCGGTAGTAGAAAAACGAGTTTTTTCGTACCAGGTGACTAATTTCATTTATCACAAGTATTTACTAGACCAGCCATACTTATCCTGCGGTCCGCGGGCCGTATGCGGCCCACCAAGCTTTTATGTGTGGTCCGAAACAATATTATTAGGAAATTGATTTTTCAAAACTATAGATTTTTAAGATTTTTCAAATCTTGAACGATATGTGCGAGAACATTTTTCGGTCGCTACGCTATGTCTCGCTAATTTTTGAATAATCATTTGGATGTATTTAGGTTTTTTTGTTTTATTTGCTACATAGAAAGTAAATGTAAAATCAGGTTCCCACTAACTTTAAATGGATGCCTACAAAAAAAACATCGTCCAAAAATATTGCGGCCCTTGTAACATAGCAAATATATAAATGTGGCCCATGCAACATAGCACACATATGAGTATTTATTTAATAATAATACATCCAACAGTTTTATAGCCCATTTACAGGTGTATAAAATATAAATAAGTAAACATTATTCCAGTAAAAGTACATATTAATAGTTTTGTTACTAAATACAAATACAAACCTAAAATCTTAGCTTTACAATATTAAAAAGAAGATTATTCTTTACATTTTATGAATATTTGTGATTTATAACAGCTACTGATAAACTAACAGAACAAAAAACATATATAAGTATAGAAATTAATCAGAAATTAACCTGGATATCTTTTTTAAATTGTGGAAAACTCAAAAAGAAAATATCCACATTAGGAATGGCGTTTACACTTTTAGACATTAAATATAGGGGTGAATTAAAGTGATGATATGTATTTGGTACGGGAATATGAAGCGTACTGGCTACTCGCGAAGTGGGAACATTAAGAAATAATTGAGAAAGTAGATTTGTCAATGTGATTATTAATTAATATAAAACATATATCTTCTCTTTCACGGTGCTTTCTTAAAGATATGAAATTGAATTCCTGTAACAATAATTCATAATTGGAACCTCTTTCAGGATATATAACTGTGCTAGACTATAGTTGAACCAATAATTGACACTGAAAACCAAAATTAGGACAACTAGTGGAAAAATGATATAATCTTAAAATATTTTTTTTGCAGAATTCAGGGAATGCTTTTATTTATTCGCCAGATCCGGTACAATTAAAAATCTGGATGAGTTGACTATCATCATGAGAAGTTTGGGATTATCACCTACAAAAACAGAAATGGCGGGATACTTAAAACAGAAGGTATGAAATCAACATTATTTTTATCTGTAATCATTTATTTTATCTCAAGATAAAAGTAACGAAGATTTAGGCGATTTAACATAGTTGATAATTAATGATTAAATGTGCAATAAGTGCATCAACAAATTTACACTTAAATAGAAATAAATGTACCTCATTTTTAGTATCATTTTGACAATTAATTAACGAATTTTGCTTCATAACACTACTATTTGTAGATTGGAAAATTCTATAGAAAAAATACAAAGTTTTATTGATAATACCCAATTAGACATAATATAGCTATTTATAAGATAAAAATAAATTAAATTACGATGTAATTGTACCTATTGATAAGCGCGTGGATTTTGCCCCATTAATCAGATAATTATTTTTTGCAGAATCTGATTTTACTTCTGAACATATATTTCAAAGTAAAGTAAATAATAACAATTTGATGCATAAAATTTAGAGTGACCATATTGATTTTGACCCAATGCAGGTCGCTGAACATGAATACAACATTGGTGATGAACTTTGGAAAGGTTGAGACCTTTTTGTAGCTCCCAAAGATAAAAACACAAAAACAGTAATGTAGAGGATCTGTGGACCTTTTTTTTTATCTCCCCAAGGATAAAGTTTCAGTAAATTATGTATTACATTGCTGGACAATAATAAGCGTTTTGCTGGACAAATAGAGCGTTTTGCTATAGGTTTGTTGTACAAACAAGGTCAAATGCTGAACATACTTTGAAAATGCTACACAATACAGCGAAATGCTGTACGTATGGTCACCCCAGCATAAATACATAGCTATTTTTGAAAACTTAAGGGTAAACTACATTTTTTGGGTAATTTGGTAAATGATGTCAAAGAAAATTAGTTTAATGATGAAATTTTAGAGAAATACAAAAGATAATCAATGGAACATGAGGGGTAAAAAACTTAGTTCATATAATTATTATTAAACCATTTAATTTTAAAATGATTATAAATTATGAAGGTAGCAGAGAGAAATGACATACCATCTAACTATTCAAAACAATGCGATACTATTCGCGATTCGAGCTAAGCACATACTTTGATTAGTGTACGGTGCAATAAAGAGGTCCGACACGCCCAACATAGGGCGCGGCCATTTTGATGCCTTTACCACAGTTTATCCCTAAAGAATTAATTCGCTCACTCTGCGTCGGCACTTTTGATCTCAATGTTCCAGTTTATACACTGCGCAACTCGGATAATACAATATATGACAATCGCCTATAATAAAACAGCAGCACAGCAGTATTCTGCGCAACCTGAATTTGTATCCCTGGAGTGGATGTTATTTTGGAACTTTCAACTGGTCCGAGTGACCTAATTGATTCTTTAGCAATAAACTGTGACTCCAAAAATAATATTTACTGACACTGACAGCAGCAAGCAAAATATCAGGTGCGTTTTAACCATCCGCTTCTGCTTCTGGAATTGTCGGTTTAGACGTTTTAACCTGTCAGATTAAAACAAGAAAACCGACAATTCCGAAGCAGAAGCGGATGATTAAAACGCACCTTTTAAAAATATTGCGCCAAGATGTAGGCAACACGTAATAAGGCATCAAAATGGCGGAGTTTTCTATCTCCTTTTAAAAGGCACTCAGAAAGCTGCGCAGTGCAACCATTCTCCTTATAGTAAGAGAAAATCAAAATATGTGGAGCTAAGTGATACGCCCTCTGGAGGAAATTTGTAGAAGGTCCCTATAAGTAGGATATCGTTCAGTATTGCCAGAAGTAGCAAAATTTCGCTACGTCGTCGGATTTTAGCTCTTGAAGAAGTGGATAAGACCTTGTGTCTAGTAATATGTAATCATACTTTATATTTATTTAAGGATTTTTTTATAAAACCGATTTATTATATTGATTTTTTTTTAAATTTCAGTTCATTTATTAATTTTGTTTTAAAATCAGTTCATCATTTGGCAACATTGGCGTTCGTGTTCATTGTTTACATTTTAATTTGTATTAATTGCAATTCGAGTTTTTTCTTACTTTTTAGCTTTAAATTTGTTTATTTCTTATAGTATGTGATTGTGTTTATATTAAAAATGAAATCTGCGAAAGAGTCCCAGGAAATTGCAATCTATATGGTGTTAATGTCAAAATCAGAATTGAAGTATTCATTATTCACCAAGTGCAAGTCGTAAAATTTTGATTCTTACGATAAATGAATCTATACAAATTCACAATATTGAAATTTTGCAAAACTTTGTTTAGAATCAAACTGTAATCTGATTTGTGATGTTTTATTACCATTTACATCTATACAAAGTACTACAGAATTTACTTCTTAATATAAGAATAAGGATAGTAAAATTTTTAAATAAGTTCATCAATAATAAACGTTTAGTATCTAAAATGTCCTTTAAACCACATAATAAAACATGTCCTGGGTTTAGTAAATACATATTTCTAGTTGTTCTTGTAGCAACCAATAGGTGAATATTTCCAACAAATTAAGTCATTCACAAGATAAATATTATATTTATGACGAAAGCACGCGAAATAAACTTAAATTAAAACTAAATGAAACTCAAAAACACTATTACAATGAGAATATTATCTAAAAACAGTTAAAAAAATTACAAATACAAAATCCGCCTAAAACAAACACATGTAAATAAACAAACATCCTACTTATAGGTGACAAATGACAGGCGCGCAAAAATTAATTTGAATCGCGAATTACTAATAGACTGACGTTATAATGGTAACAATATTGGGCCTTAAGCAGATCCGAACAGGGAAATTTTTTGAGAAGTTCAACATGATCGCAGTAACTTTGTTGTTTATAATTTAATAAATACTTACATGATATATCAAATACAAACTAAATCGTAAATGAAAATTTGTATCAATTTTTATATGGATTTTTCTAATTTATAGGTAATTATGTATGCAGTTAGGAAATCCACAATTAGAGATAAAATAGAAAACGTATTTTACTAAGAATATGAATTGAATCGAATAGAAATGCCTAATTGAAAGAATATTTGTTTGTAATAGGTACTTAAATAAAAATAACTAAAATAATAATAAAAGTGTTCATAATATTATCCTTATTACATTTACAAAATGTATTGAATAAATCATAGAGCATAAATCCTAAATATTATTAAGAATAATATTAAAACTATTTCCAATTAGTGTAGAGTTAAATAAAACGATTTTTTTGCCATTTTCAAACTTAAAATATCGAGAGAACTCAAATTGCAAAATTTTATAAGACTAACCTTCCTTAAATGGTTAGTAGAAAACCCTGTTAAAATATTGAAACATCAATACGGATCAACCTGTAGAGGTTATGTTAAATGGGATAAAAGTTGCCTATTCCGTTTGAGAGTTATTTCGAAAAAACTGAAAACTTATATTTACGGTTTTTTTATTGACTAAAAAGAGTTGCCTTTTTACTTTCCTATCCGTATACAGATATAAGGAAAGTATAGGAATCATGATTTTTTTCGACCTCGAGTTTTCGACGGATTTTTACGTTTTGAGGTCCCCTGAATCCGTTTTGACTATTTTCGCGATGATGTCTGTGTGTCGCATAACTCATGAACCGATACACAGAAAAACACCAAATTTCAAACTTAAGCTTCCAATGTGCTGATTAGATTTTGGGCAGTGTCGGAACATCTGGGGGGTACTTTATAGGTGGTCATTTTTATATTTTATGGAATATATGTTATTTACGTTTGGGGAAGAAAATTCTTCAAATAAAAGTTACTTATATTATTATCTAAAATTTTTATTCTATACAAAATTTTCCTAAAATGGTCCGTATTCGAGAAATTTGACAAAATGTAAAAAAATATTTTTTTTATAAAAATTGTTCAAACAAAAGTTGTTTGTAATATAATTCTCTATAATTTTTATCCTATACATAATTTCTCTAAAATGGACCGTATTCGAGATATTTGAGAAAATGTGTAAATTTTGAAATTTGAAGAAAACTCAAAAACGGATAAAGAAAAAAACATTAAATTTTAAACTTAAGTTTTATTTCGGCCTGACGTGAAAGATTAGATTTTGGACAAAGTCGGAACATCTGGGGGGGTACTTTATAGGGGGCCTTTTTTTATATTTTATGGAATATATCTGTTATTTATGTTTGGAGAAAAAAATTGTTCAAATAAAAGTTATTTCTAATATTATTATCTATAATTTTTGCTTTATGTCAAAATTTCCTGAAATGGTCCGTATTCGAGAAATTTGACAAAATGTGCAAAATTCTGATTTTTATGAAAATTGTTGAAATAAAAGTTGTTTGCGATATCGATCTCTATAATTTTTGTTTATACATGATTTTTCTAAAATGGACCGTAATGGAAAAATTGTAGGAAAAGTACTAAATTTAAATTTTTCAGTATTTTCATTTTCAATGAATATCTATAGAAAAATGTTTCGAGGTAGATGTATGTGGAAAATGTATATATTTGTTTTATCTTCTAAACTTTATGGAGGTGCTGCAATAGGTTGTACAAAATAACCGGAAAAAGCATGTAAAAACTAGATAGGAAAGTCATGTGTTGGACACATCAAATTTTTTGTTTAGTTCTTAAAAACTTGTTATTTAAATTGGTATAGACAATGTTTCGTTTTTTGTGGAACCACCCTCAGATCTATTATTTTAAATATGGGTGAGGAATTCTTATTCAAATTATTTATATATCATTCAGTAAATAAAAAAAGTAATATTATACAGGGTGTTTTCAAAGTTGAGTCATTTATTTTAACGGCTTGTAGAACTCGTCAAAAGAAGTCGATATACCAAAAATCACCTAAATAAAAGTTGCATATTAAAAGAAAAAGGAATTTCAAAATTTTAAAACTAAAACAAACTATTTATCCGCATATTTTAATATTCCTGACCATTGCCAAGTAAAAACTTATCGTTGTTTGTTTACTACGACAATTTTACTTATCCAGGTATGGCTATTTTTTTTTGTTTTACGGTTTTGAGAACGATTTTCGGTTAGTTATTGATATCAAGCGTTTAGTTCGTATCACTTTAATTTTTTTGATATTTTATACGGAAAAATGGCCCGCGTTTATGGAAACAATGAACTAGTGGACATAATACTAACATACGGAGAGTGCCAACAAAATGCAGCCGCAGCATGTCGCCTTTACGCGGAAAGGTTTCCATTAAGAAATCATCCCGCTCCACGGATATTTGTAAATTGAGTTATTCGACTTCGTGAGACAGGATACTTGAAAGAACAACGAGGGGGTCACGCTGGAAGACCTGCTCCACCTGAAATGGTAGAAATTGAGGAAAATATTTTGGAAATGGTGGAAGATGACCCAACAATAAGTACCAGAGCTATAGCAACTCAAGTCGATGTTTCCCATAGTAAAGTGTGGAAAACAATACGACAGGAACAATATTATCCTTATCATTATCAACGGGTACAAGCATTACAACCTGAAGATCATCCTAGAAGAGTTGAATTTTGGCAGTGGTTTTTACAACAGTTGAACAGAAATGAAGATTTTACGAAAATAATTTTAGCTACAGACGAATCCACATTTACACGAAATGGGATATTCAATTTTCACAACAATCATGTTTGGGCAGTAGAAAATCAGCATGCCATAAGAAGATCTAATTTCCAACATAGATTTTCATTAAATGTTTGGGGCTGGTGTAGTAAATGGCATGCTTATTGGACCATACTTTTTTCCACATCGGCAAACCGGTGACATTTATTTAGATTTTCTTCGACACCATCTGCCAGAATTATTAGAAGATGTTCTACTGAATGTTAGGCAGGATATGTGATTTCTACATGACGGAACTCCACCGCATTTCAGAAGAGGAGTTCGTGAATATTATTTGAATGAACAGTTTCCGAATAGATGGATAGGGAGGAATGGACCCGTTTCTTGGCCTGCACGCTCCCCGGACATAACGCCTTGTGATTTTTTTCTGTGGGGTTATTTAAAACAGTTGGTGCATCATGATGGAGAAGTAAATACTGTGGAAGAACTTCAAGACCGCATTGTAAATGCTTGTGATGTTATTCGCGGACATCCGGATTTTATTTTTGAGGCCTGCCAGGAGTCGTGGGTACGCCGAGCAAGACTATGCATTAATCGGACAAATGGTGACAATTTTGAACAATTTTTGTAAAAATGGAATATATTTTACCGATAATGAATGTTTTTAATTTTAAAAAAACCTATAACTCCCTTATTATGCAACTTTTATTTAGGTGATTTTTGGTATATCGACTTCTTTTGACGAGTTCTATAAACTGTTAAAATAAATGACTCAACTTTGAAAACACCCTGTACAGATACCTTAATTCAATTAAAAAAAAATTGAATTGGTCTAGCTTATATTACTGAAAAAACTTTTGAAACCTTCTGCTTTAATTAAAAAGCAAGTAAAGAATTATCAAAGAACGAGACTTTTCTTTTACTACTGTCTAAATATCACTATTACATATCAATTAAAAATTGTTACAACTATTTTCTTTTAGGGTGGTAAAATGTCATTTCCGGACTTTTTGGAGGTAATGTACATTCATTCTAAGGTGGAAAATATTCCCAAAGAAGTCGTCGATGCTTTCAAAGCTGCAGACAAAGAAAACACGGGAAAAGTATCGGCTAAACAGCTGCGTTACTTATTGCAAAACTGGGGAGAATGTTTGTCTCCTAAAGAAGTTGATAGAATTTTCAGAGAAGCCAATGTTAATGTAAACAGCATGGTTAGATACGAAGATTTTATTAAAATTGCTTGTGCTCCAGTTCCTGATTATTATTAAAAAAATTAATTTAAACAAAAAAATATAAATTTTCTTAAATATAGTATATAAAAAATAATGTATTTTGAATGTTTTTAGTAAATACATCGGTATAACGATTCTTAGCCTACCTCCCAAATCATTTTTAAATTTACCCATATGTAAAAACTTAAAAGACAGAAAAGTAATTATAATGAATGTCCAATAAATTTGAGCGATATTTCACGAACTATTATTTCAATATTTTAATCATGAAACTTACATTCTTTACATGTTTTTACATTGATTTATTTGAATGTCTTTCAGAAAAATATTAACGAATTTTTAAATAATGATTTAAGGAAACAATCTCATTCTTTTGAATTTTACTATCAACAGTAACGATTACATTACTTAAAACTATCCTAGTTTTAAGTTTTTAAATTCTAAAATAAAAAAATGTACTTAAACAAATGTAACATTTTTATCAGTTCCTCTAATAGAAAAGAATTTTAAACAAATACTAAAATATAATCTAAAACTAAAGGAATTTTTATATGATGTGGATTGGTATCAAAAAAATAATTTTGCCTACTTAAATATTAATAACTCTGCAGGTTATAAAATAAATAATTTTGAAATATATAATATGTCAGGAGTTAATGAAGTCGTAATAATTGAAACTTCTCTATGTGATGAGAATATTAATGAAACTGACAACAATGTAACTATAATACTATACTTAATAAGGGTTTTTAGACATGGGACTGACTCAAAGCCAAATAGGGCAAATAGACTAACAAATAAATCTGTAAATAGCCATCAGTCAAACTATAATAAATCAAATAAATACGATAAAGGTCGTTATAATAGGGATATTTTTGCAAGTACGTCAACTGGTAACATCATCTGTAATATTACTGAGGCCCCTCCTATGGTGCCTCAGTATTGCATTCGTGCAATTATTATTATTATTATACGAAAAAATGTTCTTACTCCCATTTTTTTAAAACTTTTTTTCATGTTTCTGATTATTCTGAATCCTAAAATCCAAAAAAAATGTTTCGTCTGGTTGTCTGTATGTATGCCGGCACGATAACTCGAGAATTCTGATTGACTTACGGTTTTGATTTTCTTGAATAATTACTTCTAACTTAGAACCCTATTGATTTTCAGAATTTTCGGTTCATCCTAACTACTTTATAATCAATTTTCTTAAAATCCGCATATGCATTTCTTATGTTACAATTTTAGGAATTTCAATTATCAACATTCCTAACATTCTTAAAATTCCATAAATTGCAAACATTCTCTAACGACCTGTCAAACAACAGCTGTTGATAGTAAAGGTGAAATTTCTAAGGCGGGTTGCGACCTTCATACTTGCAATCATAGCCATTTTGGAGGCTATTTTTAATCGAAATTAGTAGCCAAGCCTGCCAATTTATGAAATATATAAGCAATTTCTTAAAAATTACTTTTTTATGGTGGTGCTAACTTAAGCGTACTACTATTTCGCCCCTAGCCACAAAAACACCATCAAATTTATTGGCTCTCTGTCGCAACCACATAGAATAATTAACTGGCCATTTTATTTGGCAAAAATCAGAATAATGCTTGGCTGTGCCTGTCAAGTATCAAGATGTCAACTGTGATATGTGAATATTGTGAATGGCTCTTAAATGTCAAATTATTTAAAAATGTATACTTCTTTTGATATTTATTGCAAATAATTTGTAGTATATCTCAATTCAGGCATAAATTAAGGGAAATACTTAAAAAGGGCAGGTTTAAAGAGCATTAGCACAAGAAAGTATATCCGTTCTGTTTATTTATCAAGTATTGTTTGAGGTTACTTTTGAATACATTTGTTTTTTTTTTTTAATTTCTGTAGGCAGTCTATTAAATTTTTTAAACCTTTAACAAAATTGTATTTTGGAAACTTTTAGTGATGGCTTGCCATACATGAAAATCAGATTGGCTTCTTGTATTTTAGTTGTGATATTTCGAATTATATTGAATTTTTTTTAATAGATCTGATGCGATGGTACTGTCTTTTTTATTTTATAAATAAATATCAGTCATGTACTGAACATAATTCTTAACTGAAAGCCAATTTATTTCTTTTAACATAGTTGCAATACTCATCCTTCTGTCCTTTATTAATATTATATAAACAGGCGAAGTAAGGAGCCCAAATATTTTACATGAGCAGGCTTAAGAGGTAAAGGGGCCAATTATTATTGGATAAATTGCTCAAACAAGTTTGTAAACCCTAATCAAAAAGCGATATAGAATGGTTTTAAAAATCAAGGCTTATGGAAATCATCACATGGTTTAACCTAATTAATGCAAATGCTTCACAAACCAAAAAATTCAACGTCCTAATACTACTATCGGCTTTCGGTCTTTCCTTCCAAGTTAAATCATTTCTCGTTTTTGTTACGCTACGAGTTAAGCCTTGTGGGCCTCAGTCTCGATAAGGTGGGAACCACGAACCACCATTTTAGCGTCTCTCGAATTATAAATGTAAATAGTCAATCTATTGTTAACAAAACAAACGAATTGAACTTTTACTGAATCAATATAATCCTGACATTCTTTGTATAACTGAATGTTGGTGTAATAATACCTCGTTACCTTTTATTAACTTTAAACATTACATCATCGCCGATTCATACGTTAGAAGCAACAAAACTCATGGTGGATCACTTATTTTAATAAAAGAAACCATTACATATAAGACAGTAAATTTTATATATAGCCTATCAGAAGAAATATATTTCGAAAGCTGTGCTATATCGTTTTCTGTAAAGAATATAAACTCTATTATTATATATAAACGTCTACAGATCTCCCTCTGGAAATATTAAACTTTTTATTAAAAAATTGTTATATATTTTAAATCGTGTTGTTTTTTATGATGTATTTTTATGTGGAGATTTTAACATTGACACTCTAACAGATTCTTATAGTAAACATCTCCATAGTGATCTTATTCAGAGTTTTATCCTAACTTGTCAGAATCACGACCCCACGCGGGTATGTATTCGCTCCGTGCGAAGTCATGGAAAGGGAAGCAAAAGCGATACTAGCGCTAGCTGCGGATAATTCGTGCATTTTAGGGCGATATTTTGTAATTTTGGCATAGGTACATTTTACTTTTTTTCAAAAAGTAGGTGAAAACAATACAATAAGCAACTGGAGTTGCTGTGTTGAAAATTGTACAAATACTAGCAAAAAAACAGTGAAACTTACATAAAAAATTTCAGTAGCAAAGTGGAAATTAAATCAAAGAAATAAATGGATAGGTGTACAATAAGAAGAAAAATTACCTTTATTTTTGTAATAATAACAGTAATGCTGGAAATAGTAGACATCAGAAACTTGAAAAGTTTTAAATAAACAATAAATTATCATTTTACGATGTTCTTTAATATCCCTTTTTTCTTAAATGTTCATTCAGCAAAGACTAGATTTTAAGATTTCTGCCTTTGATTAATTATTATATGTGGCTGGAATGCAATTTTGTGACTTACTGATGGGAAACCAGTTTTAATCATTCATTCTATGTTTTCTTTCGAACAAAAATGAAAATATAAATAACGATCCTTTTTTATACATTTTAACTTCACGCTATTATTAAATGGTATTTTTTGATTTTGACAGAATAGGCTAATTCTTCAATGACAACTTATTGGACTTAGGCAACTTCTCATACATTTTCCAGTAAATACTGTTGCCTGCCTATATTTTATTATTGATTTTTATTGATTATACATAATTTTTTTTAATTTAAGCGATAAAAGTATATAATGATAATAAATTAATGTTTTACTTGTTTTACAAATCCATATAGTTTTATTAAAACTAACATATATACTTTTTAATTACGAATTTTATTAAAAATTGTATTTGTCAGTGTACGCAGAAATAGTCCATTAGTATCAAAACGAATTGGCGCTGCTGTCGCGCACGGAGCGAATAGATAAAAACAACCGCATTACTAAATCTAAAATAGACTTATTTTTTAACAAATTTTCCCATATATACTGAAACTGTGGTTGATTTTAATCTAGGTGATCATTTTGGCTTGGAGACATCCCATGTGCACAAAGCAAAATTAACAATGAAATAGTAACTTTTAGAGATCTTTCTTTTAACAAACTTAGAAAATCTTAATGCAAAACTAAATAATTAAGATTTTTCGCCCCTGTATGAGTTAGACAGTACTCATGATGCTTTTGATACATTCTTTAGAATCATTCCATGTCATATTAATGTAACTTGTCCCCTTGTCTGAACAAAAATGGATAAAAACAATACATCAAGGCAATGGGTAAACAAAAACATTATGCATACAGGTAATGATCTTAAAAATTTGTATTGGCTTACTAAAACTTGTGACAGCTCAGAATTGTTAAGAAATTGCAAATATAAAAAAAAGATTATGTTCAATTAATAAATGTAACTAAAAAGGATCATTATCAAAAATTGTTAAAAAACAAAAATCCTCAACAAAAACAAAAAATTATATGGAATACAGTAACTCTATAACCTGCAAAAGCAAATCTATAAAGCCAATACAGATCAATGTTGATGACATATTAATATCTGACAAAAAAACTGTAGCTAATTGTTTTACTATTTTTCAACCATAACTAGTAACACTGTTAGAGATAATTTTGTGTTTATATAATTCTTTATTTTGTTCTGTTTTGTTTGATTCATAATTTGTATAAGCCTTATCCCTATATCTTTAGTTGCAGTGTGCACCGTGTCATTTCACCTAACTCTAAATTTTGGAAAAATCTTAATAGTTCTCTTTGGTGCCACCTAATTTAAAACCCTCATTACTTTTTCATAAAAATCCCTATATTTGTCATTAGATAATCCTTAATCTATAATTCCATTCAACCCTAGATAATTTTTCATTATTAGTATCAAAATCGATAATTCTGCCAAGCAGTCTAGATATATTAAAATGTGTACTTATTTTAGGCGATGAAACAATTTCTAAACTAATATTTTCAGAAATAATTATCACAAGATCTATAAGTGAGTTACGATTGTTATTATTGGAGGGCTAAGTAACTTGTGAAACAATATTTTTCAAACCAATGTCAGTAATACAGTTTTTTAATCTACTTATTGTCATGCATCAAGTCAATGTTAAAATCACCTGTTATAATTATATTAAAATTACATAAAAAGTCATCAGCAAAATATTCAAAAAAGTCTAAAAATTCCTTATAAGAACTGGTAATCTTGTAGTTGAAGGGTCTAAAAATGTGCCTGTCCACACCATTCCAGTTCCAGCTAGTTCTAACAGTTGGAATCGTTACATATAGTTGCAGGTTTCATTTAATTATTTGGAACCAGGGAATAAGCAGATTGAAATAACTATTTTACTTTTAATCATCTATTTGCCAATTTTTACATTGATTAAATATCCCATAAACATAAAAAAATGTTCTAAGGATTTTCAAATAATAGGATCTTTATTTTTAATGTCAATAATACCTTTCAATAGTGATAATTACAAAATTCAAATCTGTGTCAAATTCAAATTCTAGACTTTAGTTCCAAGTGGTGTGAATATGCACATTTCTAGAGCCATCAACTACAAGATTACCCAAGGACTACTAGAGGATTTGTATAAACTAACAACTAAGTAATTACTGTTTTCAAATAAAAATTTCAATAGTATTATCCAATTTTATTTTTGTGTGCAAAATTTTTTACAACTAAAAACCTTTAATTGATTACTTATGTAGATTAAAGCCCTACCTGTGTGGCAACTGTCACTATTAACCCTATAACTATTGAAACCATTTATAGTAATTTCAGTAAGATATGTTTCAGAAACACACATTAGTAAATACATATTAAACTTTAAGCATTAAAAGTGATACAATAAAACAAGCAAAGGTTTATTTTTTGTGTTTTTAGATAAGAGTTTAGTTTTACAGTTCTCTCTGTTTAAGCAATGTGAATTATTTTTTTGTTGAGAATAGTATCCATTGCAATATCCCTAAATACAAGTGGATGACTATTTAGAAATGCTTCCTGAACATGAATCTTTAAGTAACTTTTCTTGAGTAACACATAGGTAATTTGAGGCGGGGAATGCTGGTACTTTGTTTACACTACTATACTAGTGGATTGATTCAATTTTGCACAAAAACATTGATTTCGAGCCTGAATTTTACCATCTTATTCATAAAAAGTGGATTTATTCATGGACAAAAGAAACAATATTTAAAATGGTACCAGTACATTTTATGCTCAAATAATATATGTATAATCTAGAGGAATTCTAAACTTGCATATGGATGGATTTGAGGATTGATATAACAATCATTTTACATATACAACTGGATACTGTAAGTACAGTTTTAAACATTAACATAATACAAAGGCCGTTGAAATCACCATGTAGTTTTTTATGAAATTAATTATCATGAACCCAATTTAATTTTTTATACACATTACATGTACTTAATTAAGAAACTTTTAATTTGACCTATACAATTAAATGAAACCACCAAAATAAACAAGCAGGTAATGTGGATTATATCACTCCTTTATTTGAACTTTTAGAACAAAAACCCACTCTCTTCAGTTCATTATACATTTAAATTTGTTATGGAAAAATTCAAAATATATTTTGCATGATAATTCACTTTCATATATTTTTTAAATTTTTTTGAATGTTTGAAGATAGAATTAGGAAAATGTAACATGTAAATATTTAATTTTATATATAGAACTATTTCATTGAACCTACCCACCACTGAAGTTTAAATTCTTGCCAAAATCTGCAAATTGTTAATTGACCATGGATGTACACTAATTAAGTATTGATCTGAAATGTTGACAAAATAACTGAGTACTTAGTTATTTTAAAAATCGTCTTGTACTATGTGCAAAGTACAAATAATCTTCATCTTCAAATACGCAAACTAAAAAAAATGTCAAGGTTTTCTCGTGCATATTTCGCACGTATTTCGGCTGATAAAAAATATGACATTTGTCTTTATTGGAAAAGTCACAAATATAGTAGAAAAAAGAAGAAAGTCAAATTTTCACGATAGTTAATTTCAAATTTTGTCGTCAAATAAAATGTATGCATTGAACCAGATTGAATGGGCCTATTTTGTTCATATGAACCCAGTATATATTGAAAGTGAATATTTTTTAATGCTTTTTAAGCAATAAATATATGGTTTATTAAAATTTATTAAAAATTTTGCAACCAAAAATCTTATTAAGTGTCATTTGTCATGTCAAAAAAACGCACCGTGAAAAAATAATCGGCATTTTGTTTTTCGTTGTTGTGAGGTTATGGTTAATAAGCATCACAAACTTTAAACTTTTCCATATTACTAATACTATTCTCTATTAATAATTGTTTTATTTGTAAGTTATTAAACAAACATCAAAATGTCTGCTGCTATGCCAATAAACCCTAAACCATTCCTTAACAGTCTTACAGGAAAGGCTATTTTGGTAAAATTAAAGTGGGGCCATGAGTATAAAGGGTACCTTGTATCAGTTGATGGATATATGAATTTACAATTAGCGAATACCGAAGAGTTTATCGATGGGAGCGTAACAGGTATAATAAAAAATTAAGATGAACATTACTTACTCTTTTTAATCAACATTTTCTATTATTTTTTATAGGAAACTTAGGAGAAGTACTTATCAGATGCAATAATATTTTATTTGTTAGAGGTGCCGAAGAAGATGATGAAGAGGGCGAAATGAGGGATTAGTAGTGAAACATATTCCAAATAATTAAGGTTTTTAGTTTACATAAGGAACAATTCATTCTTGAGTATATTTCGTGAAAGTAACTGAACTGTATTAGTGTGAATATTGTGTTAAGGAATGAGAAATTATCGTATGTATTTATGATATTAAATTTGATAACTGCTTTTTAATCTTTTTTTTGTTTTCAATTAGGTATTGCAAGATTCCATAAAACAATTTTATAAAACATATGTTTAGTTAGAAAAAAAGTCTTGCCCATCATAATACATAATATAATATATTTGGCGCCGTTCAAAAAATGTCCAGGGGGCAAGTCTTACAGGCAGGGTAAAAACGCCGCAGGCTATACTGCCCTCCTAAGCCAAAAAGTGGTATCTAAAAAAAACTAACTTCTATTTTTTAATGCACCAGCTTCTTTATTATTACAATAATAACAGAATTCATTACAACAATAAACAAATTATAAATTAATCACAGGTAAATAAGTTAGCAACTAGGTGTGGGCACTTGTATGTGCTAGACAGACTAAGACTGAACTAAAAAGTAAAATTAATGAATTTTTAATAAATGTTAAATGTACTTAGTAATGTTATATATAATATGTAATAATCTTGTAATCTACAGGGCTTCAACATATTAGAATAAGATGTGTGTTATTCTAACAACTCTTAAAAGATTCACTATTAGGCATAGATATTTAAATGATCAAATTACTAAAGGTTCTGGTTTTGTGTTGATGACCCAGAGGTTTTTTTAGTACCTCATGTTTTTGTATGTAACAGCATATTGTATTCATGTATAATAACAAACTTCTAACATTAGATATTGTTTCATTATATAGTAGAGGAGTAGTATATAATCGCTGTTGAAAATAATTTTCAGTATTTTCTTTTGTATGACATTTAGTGGTCTAAGGGTTGTTTTATATAGGCCTCCCCATACTAGTATACCATAATTTAGAATAGATTCTACCAAGCTAAAATATAGTCTTGTCAAGAGATTTTGGTTAAGAAATTGTTTTAAAAGAAAATTTATAGATTATAAATCTAAGCTTTTTTGATATATATGACATATTATGAGAGTCCTATTTTAGATGTTGGTCTATAATTATTCCCAAGTTTCTGTTTCTTGTATTTTGGAGATAGTTTGAAAAATTCCGCATCAGATACACTAAGAAAAATAGCAAAATCACACTCAGAACATTAAAAAAAAAACTTTAAACATTTACATATCTCAACTTCACTTGTACTTACTAAAAGGTTTAGAGGTATGCCATTATTACTAAATTAAATGGCTGCATATCCATATATGACACAAGAACTTCAAAAATAATTTAAAGTAATCCAGCAGTACCTACCTAAACAATTTTTTTCGACAGGAGAGAATGCGAGAAGAACTTTTAGAAAATGTGTATTGTCTCTAAACTCGCTTTAAGTGATATACCGCTTTTTGGCTTAGGAGGGCAATATAGTCGAAAGCATGCTAAAAAATCCAAAATTACAAAGCCAAGGGAGGAGGCAGCGCCCATGTTAATATACCTAAGGTAGCCTAATCTTGTAGTTGACGGTCCTTGTAATGCACATGTTTGAAAAATTGATTTTTTTCAACAATTGACTCTATGTAATTACACAATTTGAATTATACAAGAAATTTTATCAAATCTTATACAAGAAATTGTGTAGTCTAAAGCAGTCTTAACAGTCTTTAGTTTGATATGAATTAAGTATAGTTACTATTATATTTATATATTTATTTTAACAACAATAATTTATATACAAACGTTTAGGACATATAGTAAAAAGTTAATATTTAAGTCAAAATTACTTGGTAAAGAACAGGAGACTTCAGATTTTCTTTCATGGTTCATAAAAACAATTAAATTGCCAACGAGCATCTCTAAAGTCTTTTAAATAATGCAATTATTCGCGAATATTATAACCAGGCAGAAGGAATTAGGTCGATAGCCTATTGGACTGAATTTTCAGTTCAATAAATGACAATTATTATTATTATTATTTTTTTTTTTTTTTAATTTGGTTTCATCGGCATCGACTGCTAAAGTCATTAGCCTCGTGTTCTGTGTAGACTTTGTTACTGTTTCCCAGCGCCACTTTAGGAACAGCACTGTTAATTAGAACCCAAATTATTATTATATTATAACCTACAAGGGACTTACTACATATGCTGCGTTTGAATATCCACATCGGATGCATCTGAGATGTTGTAAATCTTTGATCATGTGATTCAATATACGTAAATGTAGTAGGACAGATGTGTCCGATATATATAAACAAACGGTCGATATGTAAAAAATGCATTGGATGTGGATATTCAAACGTAGGTAGAATGTATAAAAATATACAATCTAAATAAATGAATAAATAATTTTAGGCATACATTTATATAACAAAGATATGTGATATCTAGTTTAAAGGTATAATCCCCAATTCCACACATTTTAAGTTAGAGTTAAGTGTTTGTTAAGGTACCATTTCGGCAGGCGCGACGACGACAACAGACGCGACCGAGAACTGTCTATTCACAAATAAACATTTTTCTACCCAAATCAGAAAGTAAACAAAGAATAAAAACAAATAATATTTTTAATATATACTTAACGTACGGAAACAAAAAAAAACAATGAAAAATAATAGGTACCTACTTCTTTTAGATCAGTCTGAATCAGATAATTCAAAATCGTTGTGTTTGGCATGCATGTTCTTTATGATGCCCTATTAATTCTTTGTTCATTTTAATTAAAAACAATGATTATCGTGATGTTTTTTTTATGGAGCCAACCTACAGTAGTGGATACTTATTACGCTGCTTTTACTTCAGCAAATTTACTAGAGAAAATATTCTTTGACCATTTGCTGAAGAATGAGGCAAACTCAATAAATTAAGAACAAAATTTGCTAGAGACAAAAACAGTAGGTCTGGCAACGCTGATCGTTCCATCGAATGGTTATCTGCGGGTGTCGCGCCACCCATCTCCTTGCTTCCCAAATGTACGGAGCGTAACATTCATGCATCTGTCGTCCTAGGGGTCGTCTCGGTGGTCTCCTGACGCGCCTACCGAAATAGTACCATAGTACCTTTAGGGTTGACACATGGTCAATGTGTAAAAGTAGGACAATTGTAAAAGAAAAGCCTGATTTTTCACAAAAAAAAATACATTTACTACACAAGCATATAAATATTCGAGCTTCTAAAAAACAAAAAAAGGCTCTCATCTTATTTTTTATTCAACCCCTGATCATCGACATTATATTTAGCAATTTTTCCTAAATTGGAAAAAGCCGGCCGGACATTAAGAAATTGCCCAAAAAGGAGGACATGTCCGGCAACCCTAGTGTTTTTCATCATTATCATTAGTTTATACACATGATAAAGTTACCTGGCCTTATTGTTTTCTTAGATATTACTTTTTATCTTAGAAGAAGAAAAAATCTTTAATGGGGATAATCCTAAAGGGTTATCGACCGGAGTCTTTCTACCCTTTTATCAATTAATAATTACATAATTTTTTTAATAAGTAGGTCTAACAGTGCAAGTAGAATATAAAAACAAAAAAATAATAGTAGACAGACTAAAAGTTACCATAGCCTCACATAGGGAATTCAGCGTGTAAGAGTGAGAGGTACATATTCAATGGGTGAGAGTGAGACAGAGTAAGGGGAAGTGGGGGAATTAAATTTATTTTAACGCCGTACGCAAAAATCATGCGATTGCCAAAAGGACCTAAGTGTGTTTCTCGGCTACTATTGATCCGATTCAAACTGGAAAAACGGCATAATTTAGAGAACTCGGTATAGATTAACGTCGAACAGAAAAATCATGCGCAGCGTGGACATATTTAACTGCAGCCTAGCGACAATAAAAAAAGTTAACATAGTCTAAATTATATAACGTATTTTTCCATTTTAAATAGAACAATGTAGTATTCATGTAATTTTATGGCATTTATGTAATTTTTATTTTATATATGTAATTTTTATTTTATTTATGTAATTTTATTGTATTTATGTATTTATATAATGTATTTATGGTTCCTATCCGGTAATTGGATGTACATCTGTTGGATAGTGTAATAAAATAAATAAATAAATAAAAAAAAAGATGTATAGGGGCCAAATATTATTAGATAAACTCTGTTCGAATAAATTGCAAACCCTAATCAAAAGTGGGCATGGAATGGTTTTAAAAATCAAGGCTTGTGACAATCATCACGTGTTTTAAACTAAGTAATGGCAATGCTTCACAAATCTGAAAATTCAACGTATTTATACTACTATATCGGCTTTCGGTCTTTCGTTCCAAATCAAATCATTTCTCGTTTTTTACGCAACAAGTTTACCCTTGTGGGCCTCAGTCTCTATAAGGTGGAAACCCCAATTTAGCGTCTCTCGAATTAATAAAATTTGGTTTCCTTTTTGTTGTTGGTTTAATTTGCTGCTGATGAAGTATATAGAATTTAGAGTGAACTTTTTTATTTGTAAAAATCCGCTAATTACCTAAATCAACCTGGATAAAAATATTCTCTAAAATTTTTGTAATAAATAAAAAAAGATGGTCCCACATCCCACAGGAGATTAAAATACGAATTGAAAAAAGTATTATTTCACGTGTTTTGAATTGTGCAGATAAATTGCGAAACTAATTTTCAATAAACAAATATTCCCGGTTTATATTCCTGCATTATTTGTAGGTGAAGTATGCCTCGCGGTCCCTAACGCAAATAACCGTTGTCATTTGGTGGAGATCAGCTTATAAGTCAACATGCATTTTGTAGTACTCAAACCAAAGCAATGTCGCAGTAATGATGATTGTATTGTTCTCGTTTCAAATAGGGATCCTCGGGAGTTTCGTCATCTGTTAACGGGCTATTACATTTTGATCCAGGAATCAGGAGTTGACATTTTATTTAATGAATTACAGAGCTTTACCTAAGTTTATTTTTTTTTGTGCTATTTCCGGAATAATACATTATAAAAAACTAAAGTGCGGGTTGTTTTCGAGGACTTAATTTTCAACCTATCTGAAGGATTTCGCCAAAATAACGTTTGTTTTTTTTAACGATAAAACTTAACTGTTGATTATAGAGGGTATTTCCTAACCATAGGACACATATTCAAGGGGATATTCTCTGTGGG